TTCAATATTTTTAGTTTGTAACCACTCCTACATTTCAGCTTCTCTTGATGGTTTGTTATTGTTAAAAGTTTAATTAGAGAAGTTGACTGTCAGTTCAACTAATACTATAGGGCGTATTGCAAGCAAAGTTGCTGTAAGAAGTTTCGCTTAATTTTTCTCCATTAATCGTCTGTCAAAATTATACGAGACCTCTCTATAACAGGCTGTATAAATATGTAAAAAAATTTCTCGTATTATAATATAAGAGTTCATTCAACTTCAATTTCCACGAAAGCTTTAACCATTTTGCGTTTGCAGCAATTTTATTTTCGTCCATAAACTCCTTTCCAGGAATCAGCAAGACATTATTCAGCCATATATTGCCACATATCGCGAGCACCAGTTTTACTGGTCGTAATATTATGCTGTTATTTAAATTCCAAACACAATGCTCATGCTCGTTGAAATGGGAGAATTGCATTTTGCACATATTGGGGAATTTCAGGTGAGAGAAAAGTTGTGTTTTTAGTGCCGTGTTTCGTTGAAATGTGCTTTCGTAATCTTATTACGGTGTTAGTAGGAATGTGTATAGGTTTTCGAATGAGACGTTTTTCTTTTCAACTTAGTATAACTTTGCAAACTGACGTCAATATGATGTCAATAAAAATAACATTTCTCATTGAGTATAATAAATTAACTGGTTGGTATTAGAAATTAAAAATTTAAAAAAACCGACTTCAAAAACGTGCAGATGCTATCACCACATCTTAATCACATTTATATGGGACCACTCCTGAGGTACCCCCTTACTAACAAAAAAATAATCATATAAATCGCACAAGGTGGTAAAGCATTATCGCTAATCATACATAAAATGAAGAGTTTGAGGATTTTCTCATGGACACAATTATTAGGTTTTGACCAAATTTATATGAAACCACCCCTGAAGTATCCCCTTTCTAACAAAAAAAGAATCATTGAAATCGGACACCGTGTTAAAGAATGATCGCTGAACATACACAAAAAAAAAATATTGCGACGAATTGAGAACCTCCTCCTTTTTTGAAGTCGGTTAAAAAACCATTTGCCTCTTTATCTTTATCAAACGTTTATTGTGCATTTCCATTTCCATAATGATGTCAAGTAAATACCTTATCAGAATAATAAAATTTTTCATTTTAGCGGGTTTTGTGGGAAACAAAAAATTTACAAATTTTTTGCTTACTTCTTACTTCATAGTATTTACAGTTGGTTACAAAATAGACCATTTTAAAGGAATCTTAGAATTAGGCACTGAAACAAAATATAAAACAAATTAGATTAGTAAAACTTTATTACAGTTAAATAAAACAACAACTTTAAAACTAATTTTATTTACCTTGCCTTAAAGAAGTTTTTCGGGAACAATCGTTAAATTGACACACATACTTTCAATTTATTAATGTCAGAGTTCTTAATTAAACACATTTTTTTTTAAATGAGCACAAAAAAATAATCATAATAGAGGAATTACGGAAGACGGGATGACAGTTTGTTTGATTTGGTACAGTGTTGCCAAAATATGTTTTTGTTATGTACCAGATTTGTCTAAAAAATGTACCAGATTCCTTAAATGTATCAGATTTTTCGAATTTTATTTGCAGCGACATCTAATTAATTGAAGAAGAAAAAAGGGGTTTTTATTGGTAACGAACCCAAACAAGGAACACAATATATATATTTTATACGTGAACACTGATGAACGCAGAATGTACTACATTTAGTACAATTGTGAATTGTACTAGACTGGCAACACTGGTTTGGCAACCTTGTTTGTGAGCGGCGCGCCAATTAATGTGTTATTTGACGATTTGAAGGATTTGTTGACGTGTTGTCTTCTCTTTTTAGCTATATGCATTCGCCATATCGTCTCACTTGTGTTAGGCTCACTCATCATAATGCGCCAGAGAAACAGTATACTTAGGTATACTGTGCTACAGAGACGCGATCAGCTAGAAGATAATGATGTACCAAAAAATATAGATTAACACGTATGAAAATAAAAATATTAAAATTAAATTTATATTTTTATGTTATTTATGTAATTTTAAAATAATGTGTTTTTATGAAATTTAACTGGGTGTTCACTGCACAAATGAACCAATGGAGAAACCGTCCCTGATTGAATGTATAAATAATTGTTTGTAAAATTAAAAAATTCTACAATTTATTGGACTAATTATAAAAACACACTGTAAAAATTGCAATTTAACAAAATTGTCTTTGCTACGATGAAGTTCAGAAGTTTTTTACCAGCTTTATAAACTTGATATAATCAAAATTTCTCTACTACGATTATAAGCTCAGTCGCTTCTCACGGTGTAGTATTTAGTTTTTAGGTTATACCTCTTATTTGCACATGGGCGAACAATCTATATAACTATAGACATCATTAGTGCCATTGTGTGATCTGAACAGGGCCACCGAGAGCCAGGCCGGACCCCAGGATAATTCTCTAGATCGGGCTCCGTGACAAAAAAAAAGCTGTTTAAACAAAAACTTTTCCTCTTCTACGTGGATTGAATTTTCTAAAAAAAAAGATCCTCAAGCTTAAAACTTTTCCTCCTCTACTTGAATTGAATTTTCTAAAAAAAAAGGACCGCTCCACAACCAAAAACTTCCCCCTCTCGTCTTGTGTCGAGTAGGTGCCGGGCCCCCATTTGAGTCCGGGCCCCGGAAATTGGTTCCGGTTACCCCCCCTCTAGTCGGCCCTGGATCTGAATTATTGACTGTCAAAACTTTCGGCACAGTTTATAGCTTAAAAGAATCAGTTCGCTCACTCTGCGTCGGCACTTTTGATCTCAATGTTCCAGTTTTACATTGCGCGACTCGGATTTGTATCCCTGGCGCATACGGAATCAAATCATAATAGCCCAAGAGCCCACTGTAAACTTTTACTGCTATCTGATAATGAAATAAAATATACCCCAAAAGCTTGTAAAAACATTGTACTTTACCGAATGGCACCTTTGACAATCCCAATCCTGAGCAAAGTGTTTAAAAAAAAAATATTTTATATTAAAAAAATCACATAAGGCATGACAGCGCTAATTTTGTTTGCCCTTAAAGTTTTCCAGATAATAACATATTCAAATATATCTTGATATATATCGTTAACGGGAAACATTTTCTTCCTCTTAACATCGAGCAAAAACATCTACACACGATTAGTATGTAAAAATCATTAAAAATATGAATCAATTTTTGCTGATTTAAGAATTTATTTGTATGCCTTTTGTTGTGATTCATTTTTACGACAAAAAACTACTATGATTATAGTTTAAAATAAATTATCTAACAAGAGTTTATAATTATTATTGACTATCTCTGCCGGTAAAAATATTAATAATTCAGGTTTAAAAGCTAGATTCACAATGAATTAGGATTGTCATTTTCAGAGAAAACACAATTATCGCTGCCATGTCTCATGTAATTTTTTGTATATAAAATAATTTTTTTTAACCACTTTGCTCTAGATTACAGATTGGCACAAGAGCAATTTGGCAAAGTACAATGTTGTTACATGTCTTTGGAGCATATTTCATTTTGTTATCAGATGCCGGTCGTAATTTGCAGTGGGCTCTCTTACTATTAACAATAGCTGTCAGTGAGAAGGTCTGGTATATCTAAAGCCTTGGTTTCTTTGAACACTCCGTCGCGGTGAGCGGACAGTCCGTCGACCGCTGAGGACAGCAATTTTCGCCCGAGGTGGTTTGTTAAAAAATATAGAAAATGATACTTTCTCTATGTCTGTACGTGTTGTTTATGTATTATGAATGTAAACGAAAGGTACAAAAATGGTTGCAAATAAATTGTTTGCGTTGTTATTATTGTTGGAAGAGGAAGAACAAGAGGAACTGGCAATTGCAACCGTCAAAGTTTCCAATAAGCCAGTGAATGAGTTGTTTTTCTGTCGCGATACAGAAGGTGCCTTTAATATCACTGTGCAGCGGAGGCTTTTTGGAAATGAAACCAAATTTAGGGAGTATTTTAGACTTTCTACAGATCTTTTTGAATTCGTGTTGAGTTTTATAAAGGACAAAATTTCCAAGAAACCTAAAAATAAAGTCATGATGTCATATGTATGTGTGAATTTGTCACTCATTGTTTTAAAATTAATAACAATATAGTCTCCGCACACGCCGACGATTCCGCTGATATCAAACTCAACAGATATCAACCGACTCTTCGCGACAAATCAGCGGCATGACGCCGTCCTGTTCAGCTAAGCGGATTCAAGAAAACCATTCCCATTTAAATACTCTGGTTGGATAAAATCGTCAAAACGCGACGGTTAACGGACTGTCCGCTCACCGCGACGAAGTGTTCAAAGAAACCAAGGCTTTAGGGGGTAGAGACATAGTCTTGCATCTTTAACGTTTTTTTTATTCGAAATAATAGTCACAAAGCCTGCCAATTTATGAAAAATTGTATCTTATTTTTATTGTGTTTGACATAAAATATTTAAATGTAATCCATTATTCATGATTTTACGTAGTGTAAACAGAAAACATTGTATGTCGCAACCCCTGGATATATCAAATCTTCCCACTGACAGTTCATTTGTTTGGAATGCCTAATACAATTATGACAACCGCCTATATTCAAACAGCAGTCTTCTGCGCATCCTAAATTTGTATCCCTGGAGTGGATGTTATTTTGGAACATCCAATTGGTCCGAGTGAGCGAACTGATTCTTTTAAGCTATAAACTGTGCTTTCGGCACTTTCAAACGACATTCTACTACAGTAACGCCATCTTAATTTCATACATTTTGAGCGGAAGCATAACTACTTAGAATGTAATCGTAATATACCAACATTTGTATATAAATACGATGTTTGTCATCAAAAATGTAGTTTCAGTTATTAGATTGTTGTATTCAAATAAACATTGCTAATATAAATTAGTATATCAGTAAAAGAAATATAAATTCGTGCAAATAAATTTTGTTATAAATATTGGTTTTTCGTTTTTTGCAGGTGGGCGACGAAATCTTAGCCGTAAATCTGGTCGACGTGACTCGCATGAGCCTGGACGACGTCGTCATCATCATGTCGATACCCAGGCGACTCGTATTGGCGACTCGGCAACGAAAAGCGACCAAGGGTGGGCAGAGTTCGCCGAGCGTGCAGCCCCGAGCCGAGCACAAACCCCCTCCCGTAGTCGTTATCAAAAGAGAACTGAGGGAAGACGAGACTGATGATGGGGATCTCGATCACAGGTAAGAGGTCTTATTTTAATATTAAACAGTTAGTTTTTAGCGCTAAAAACTACATTTAAAATGGGAATTTGGAGTTTGTTGGAAAGACAAAAGGAGGCAGTTTAGAGAATAAAAAAAAAACAATTAAAATTAATAACCTAGAAATCTGTATTTTTTCAATAACATGCAAGTTAGAAATAATCAAGATACAATTAAAACATATTTAGCGGGTTGCATAAAAGAAGATTAAAATTTTTACACAGGATAATACATTTTATCCATGCAGGGTTTCATAAAATCATTTGGCTTCCCCTTGTTTTGACCGCCCGCGTGCACACCGTGCTGCATATCTGCTATGATCAGTCCTAGACAGAGATGTAAACCATTCATTGATAAAATATAATATTCACAATGCCAAGATTAAGTCGACAATCAATACACTCTATTTGTAGGTCCGCGGCGAGGAGATAAAAGGTGAGAAATAAGAGAGAGATAAAAGAGAAGGATTTTACGCAGATACATATAATTGCTACCTACTTTTTGTGCCTAAGCACTTGAGGTGGGATTTATATTAATCCAAGTGTTGGATTCCGACTAACTACAGTGAAGAAGGGGTGAGTCGTAGCAAAAGTTATGTATGTGAGTGGGCGCCAGGAGTTTACTCACATCCAACAATTCCAAGTGACGGTCCACTATAAAATTCCAAATAGCAATGCATCTCCTCTACGAAGGCCTTCATGCGGCTATAAATTGAGTAAGCTCTTACTATTATAAAACGTTACCTTACCATAGATCTTATTGTCCAACCCGAATATGAAATCGAACAGACAATTAGCAAGTGGGGTTAAATAACAAGAAATTCCCCAACTATTAACGACAAATCCACTGGAAATATTATTCACTACTAAAATGCTACATTAGACTTAAAAATAGTTAAATGAGACTAGGGGTAATCTTAAAACTGTATGTATAAAAATAAATAAATAATAGTGATCTGTTTACGGTCGCTAGGGGTAACAAGTAATACACTGTTACTTATTAAAAATATTAGTTACCCATAAGTAATATACCCCACGAAGAGCTCTTGGTGACGTTTTCGGGTTTATTAAAATGTACTGTAATTTATACACCCCTAAACCTCGTTTACATTAGGTTTAGATAAAGTTATGTACTAATACCCCCCCTCATAAAATAGACTAAAAATAGTAATATAAAAATAAGTGAGCAAAAACTTGCGGTAAACCGAGTCTTCTTTCTGATTGGGAAAACTCTAGTAGACGGTTGTCCTACTATCTCTGGTTCGGTATACAAATCGAATCTTCTAGCAGGTTGCTAGCCCGTCACACGAATTCTAGCCGGTCATCAGGATACTAGCCGGTCTCAAGAAGTGCTAGTCCGTCAAAAGCTTACTAGCTTGTCACAAGAAGTATAGGACCGTCACAAGAAGTATAGGTCCGTCACAAGAAATGTTAGCCCGTCACAACGAGTATTGGCCCGTCACAAGAAGTATTGGCCCGTCACAAGAACCCTAAAGAAAACGTATAAGATAAAACACTGCAATAACTATTTATCCCTGGTTAATAAAGAAGTTAAAATTAAATAACCAGGTACCTACATAGTCTTCTCGTAAAGCGAGGTCTAGAAATAGGTAGTAACTCCTCAACCTTTACTAGTTAAATTAAAGTTCGGCTTATCAATTTATGTAGGTAATCTTCAGATTTACAAAGCAACAAGATAGGCGGCTCGTGAAGCGAGTTCTATATAACAATTACATTTAATAGGCAAATTACACCCTTAGGTTTCAAAATACTACCCCTTAATAGTCAATCCCATATACTGAAAATATATACAACGAAAAGAAACATAAATTAGGGTTAATAATCGTCTAGGTAAGCATGCTGACTAAAATAAAACTATATTTACCCCTTTGACACCAATAGGGGGAAGATGAAACACCAAATCAGATTGAACTGCAAATTCGTGAACAGCTTATCCAGAAAAGATTACATATATATATGGGCAATGAAATAAAAGACGAAGGCCTTACAAAAAGAAATACGACGTAATTTAAATGCTGCGCAGAAGGAAGTTACCTCGGAGATCCAAAACGTGGTTAAATATATCCTCCTAAAAGAGCTCTTACAACATGTGGTCACCAAAAATACAACCAAATCACACACTGTTGTAGTTTTAAACAAAAGGTTGTTTCGCAATATCCCAATTATGGATTGAAACGAATTCCAATAAATGTTGAACTACCTTCCACAAATTGTGTAAAACGAATCTCCAAATTCCAAGAAGCCGACGTCACTTCCAAAAACCAATAATACCAACATACCTTAGTGGCAAATAGATGTCCCCTCAGCGCTCTCTATTACGAAATAAATTCTTGATAGAAAGGGCTAAAATAACCAAAAAAACCTCTAAAACCAAATAAATAGCCTAGCTAAACTCAAATAGAGGTCCTATCTAGCCCAAACTGAACATATGCCCACAATTACCGTCGTACCGGAAACGCTAGACAGACATCTTGAATACAGGGCAGCCACTCGCAGAAAACCCCCTTCAACTATGGAAAAAGGCTTGCGAAGAAACGCCTTCGACAGTCAGCTGATAGAAATCAGCAGTCGACTGTCGATCCAAAAGCAAAGTGGTTTAAATGCGTGTATATAAGGACCCGTTTAATAAATACTGAGCGCGGAAACTGCTGAACAAAAAAGGCGCATCCCTATTTTAATGAAAAACCGCTATAAGGTCAAATCTAAACGTTACATAATAAACAACGCCGATATCCATCCCGGTGTAAGCCCTGTTGCCACTTCCAACTTACCATTACTAGGTTTTGGAATTTATTGAAAATTATTACATTTGGTTTAGAGACAATCTTTTCACCTCTGAGTAAAGTTGAAAGTGACTACTTGCTTATTAAAATATAGGGATATTGTTTTTTAATCTGTTACTCAGAGGTGAAAAGAGCGGCCCTTAGTGAAATTAAATCTAATTTAGTTAAATTTGATATAACTAATGATACAAAATTTTTTGGTTGCAGTTTCAATAAAATGGGTTGAATTATTTTAGTTTTTTTAATATATTTAAATAATTTTTTAAACAAAACGAGAATAATGAAATAGGCATATGACAACAGCGGATATTATACCCTCCTGTGTCCCTCAGAATATGTCTTATTCAGAACCGCACGATATTTGTTAGTAGTTATCTCCTGTTATCTCTGGTCCTGGAACAACCTTTATATATAATATAAGGATTGTTCCTCAAGAATTTTTCACTTTTTTTTAAGAGTTTTAGAGTTTTCTCGCGGTTAAAAATGATCTACGACTCTTCGTATGTAGACCACGTCTTCCGTAATCGACTTAGCGTAAGTTTCGTTGCCGTTGAAATTAGATTTGACGACGAAACGTTCAAAACTGGTCTTGTACTTGGAAAGTTTTCAGTTACTTCAGTTATTAGTATTAAAGTCTCGATGCCACAGCTATCCATCCCTTTGTCGCAGAATAAAATGTTTTTTGTTTTTGTTTGAAATGAATTTTTGATATACAACGGAGTTGGTGTAATTTGTCTCGAGTTTCTACTATACAGGGGGCGCTATCGCACACTTTAAGAACCATTGGTGTAGATGATTGGCTTCTTGTTTGAGGTGATACTCTGTGAACACTGCTTAATTAATTCGGCTCGTACAAAGGGCCATGTTCACAACGGAAGAAATTTTATAAATAAGTCGAATGTAAATGTATTAGCAAACAAAACTATAGTGTTCACTTGTTTCAGGGACTCCATTCGACAACGCCACACTGGTGATGGTCGAGAAATGTCTGAATCCAGGTCCAGATTGGGCTTAGGTCTGTCTACTTTGGATTCACGCCACACTGCCCAACAGGCTGTTGACTCAAACGGTCTAGATCTCTACTATAACAGGTAAATTTTCATTTCTGATCTAAATGTTATCCGTAAATTCTTCTTTTTCTTCTTCTACAGTTACGCCCTTATTTACATTATATGTCACTATAGATACTTTTCTCTATCACGTATATGTTGCACACTGTCTTACCCTAATTTCAAACTGTGTTTAAAGAAAAAAACTAAGACTACATTTCAGTTTTATTTTTGTTTAGCATTGCACTTGATATTTCTGATCTGTTTATGCACACTTATTTTGGAACCAGAGTTGTCTCAATACACGTTTCTTTTTTCATTCATCGGCATAATCGAAGAGCTGGCAACATTTTTTTTCACTTATAGTATTTCTGCAAACGAAATATTTCATTCAGACGTTGTTTATCATCTCAGGATAATGAGAGATTAGAAAAAGTTGGGCGCCAAAAAAATGTTGGGCGCCAAAAAAATGTAAAGTATTTTTTTTACATTAACAAAAATCTTATTTTATAGGTTGTATTACTTAAAAACTACTACTTTTAAGAAGCATATGACCTATTTTATATGATTTAAATTACATTCTATTATTAATGTTTGAGTAGAAATTAAGCAACTTGTCTAGCAATATACAGGGTATCCCGAAAATCTAAAGAAGTAATAAATCTTCAATTTATTAAGAAACTTATGAAAAAGATATAATATAAATCATCATAGGCGCTTCTAATCTTAACAGTTCAAATTATTTTAGGTATTTAAGGTGTTTCATTATGTTGTGATAGCATAAATTTACATTTTTTTAATGAAACACTCTGTAATTTGTATTAAATTTTATTTCCGTTTAGTTTTCCCATTTCGACAATTAGTAGAATTTAATTAAAAAAAAATTGGTCGCCAAAAAACGTTGGGCGCCAAAAAGTTAAATTTTTTACTTAAACAAAAATCATATTTTTTTACTATTAATAATAAAGATTATACGAAAGAAAACTACTGCTGTGTAGAGTTCGATTTTTTTTGTGAAGGGCACATTTCGTCATAGCTATGCCACAGTTCGCGCAGTACGTCATAACTTTGTGGAGCTTTAGTTGATGGCACTGGGCTGAAATCTGCTGCGGTAGGGTACCTGATATCTTAGCAGTGGCGTGTGTATATTAATAAAATATTTTAAATCGAACATATTAATAAGTTAATGTTAAATTTTAACTATTCGTTAGTTAAATTACTGATGAACTTTAAATTAATAAAACAGCTAAAAGTTTAAATAAATACTATATTTTAATTTAATTTGTATAATTTTAAACATTTTCATCATCTTCCAAGTCGGAAATATCGGATTCCCACTCATCGTATGACCCCATATTTACACTAAATATGAGGGAATCTGTAAATTTATCCATAAGGTGTTATCTTTGAATATATGCATCCTCATATTTCGCGAAATGGTCCACCACGTTTGCCCATTCCTCCGGCGTTATGCTTCGGAATTTTTCTCTTGCCAACTTTTCAACATTGTCCAACTTGAATGTTGTTACCCAATTTTTTACTGTGGCCCATATTTTTTCTATGGGTTTTAATTCGGGATGATATGGAGGTAATCTTAGAACTTTGTGTCCATGTTCTTCGAGAAGATCGTCTAAAAGAAATTTCGGTGGAGGTCTGTGAACTTTTATTAATGTGTACAGGTCTGGTTTGGTCATTTTAGTATCATGTGGTATATTGTTTTTAACGAGCCAGTTAATTAAATCTGCTTTTTTGGTCTGCGTTGTAATCGATTTTTCAGATTTTACATTATGATAACTTGTATTATTGATTACAAGTACAGACCTTGGAGGAAGATTTGGTAGTAAGTGCCTTCTAACCCATTGGGAAAAATTCTGTACCATCCGTGAATAAGTGGATAAGTCAAATTTTTATATCTATAGTTCCCTTCCCATTCTGTCTGCTGAATAAATGGGTAATTCAAATTGGCAATAGTTTACTTCAGAGGACGCCGTGAATATAGTTGAATTTCTTAATTTTTTTGTGCCAAAACCGGTAACTACAGCTATCTCTGGATTTGGAAGAGGTTGATCCAGATGATCAATAGGTTTTTACTTTTATTTTTTAATCAAAATGTATGTTATAGGTTAGTAACGCAATAACAACACACAAATTTGGAGTAAATAAATAGGTAGGTCATTTTTTTTTCCAGTAAGTATAATTTGACAGATCATACTTATTTACATTGTTGGTTGCACAATTTAACAACCTATTTAAAAAAAAACAAGTTCATCTTAAAATTTGTGTTTTTCGAAAACGTCAAAATGTTTAAAATGGCCATACTAAAAAACTTCAATTTTTGACTTACCGACTTATTTACAGATGGTACAGAATTATTCCAGTTCATTTCATCATGATAATCTCCCTGAAAAAAAGTAAAAAAGAATTTATTATCTATATAATTACTTAGTTAAGCAAAAATTATTAGGAATTTTAAATCACTTAAAAAATAATCTGTTTTTAGAAGAATTATTTCTTCAAGATGATAAGACTTATAATAATCCTAAGAAAAAGTTATTACTAAAAACTTTCCCTTGTATAACAATGAAGGATTAAGTACAGGTAAAGATCTTTTAACTAAACTGAAGATAATAAAATAAACCACTACATTAAGTACTTAAATTACTTGTTAATTAGATACTTTAACAGTTTAAATTAAATTTAAGCTGATCATAACTTTCGATTGTTAAGCATCATGGGTTTTATGAAGTAGGTAAAGACGCAAATAACAAATAATTTTCTATAAAAAATAGATTATTACCTGGAGTAAATATCAACAGTCCATTTTCTACAAAACCATCCTTACTCCCTGCATGCAACATTATGAGCCTTTTCCCGTTGCTCATTGGAGTTTTGAATTTGCCTTTGCCGTCGGTCCATCCTTTCGAATGTGTATGACTACTATGTAAATAGGTCTCATCACAATAATAATTTATATTAAATACGTTGCCATTATAATCAAAATAGTAACTTACAATTTAGAGTTGGTAGTCTTTTCTCAATAATATGAAAATCATGGAGTATACATCTGAGTTTTTCCAACTCTTCAGGCCTTATAGATTCTACAACAGTACTTCTTTTTGTATATCCTCTTTGTGAAAATGAAGTACTAACCCCACTTTCTACTTCACCAGCCATCTTCTTAATTCTAGAATAACTGCTTCTAGAAATCCCTGTAGCAGCTAAAATTCTCTGTCAGTATTTGTGTAATGGGATTTGAATACCGTGTTCAACCTCGTTTTTCATAAAATTTATTAGGCGTGAAATTATTTCTTTCGTTTGACTTTGAAGAATTTGGTCCTTTTTGCCTAATAATTTTTTCTGTTTCATTTTGAACGAATTAAAAATATAGATATTTGTAGGAAATTTGTTTTAAATAATATTAAACTTATTTTTCTATTCATCAAGAGCAAACCACACCCAAGGAAAATTTTTGAAAGAGTAATACAAATTAAAGTTACTTAAGAGCTAGTGCTTCAGTAATAAGATAAAATTCGTAGGTTTTATATATTTTATCGCAAAGTTCTTAATATTTAAGGTATTTACGTGATATTTTTTTGCTGCTATATAGTAACTTAAACTACAGTTCTGTAGTATGAAATTAACAAAAAAGTATTACCACAACGCAGAAAAAAAAAATAAAAATGTTTCAGAATATGATCACTGTTTTAAGGATTATGCTTTTATTTTTTATTCGATTAGAATTTTCTTTTAAGAATTCTCTAGAGAAATCTTTCCTTTACAATTTGTATTGAAAAAATATTTTTTTTGTTTTATCCGCGTGTTTAATTTTAGTTTCAGTTTTTTCATCAAGAAATAATAATATGTTCACCGAATCCTTAAAACAGTGATCATACTGACTTTTTAAAATTTTTTTTTCTGCGTTGTGGTAATACTTTTTTGTTGATTTCATACTACAGAACTGTAGTTTAAGTTACTATAAAATATATAAAACCTACGAATTTTAGCTCATTACCGCAGCAATAGCTCTTAAGATAAGAAAAATATGGTTTACAAAAAATGTGGTTTTAAAAGGTATTTAAAATATTTCAGGATGTTCGGTTTCTTCTGAGATTAATATTTATAGTTTTGTAAATGTACTTACCAAAATATACACAAAATTAATTAGGAATTCAAAAAATATAACAAATTAAAGTTTATATACACACTAATCGAAGGACAAAAACTTAAAAATCGAAGCACAAAACTCAAGAAACTCAAAATAGCTAAACAAATGCAACAAGTACAAATAAGTAACACTACGCTACTGAATTCAACTTGTATGAGCGGTGATGAACGGCAGGCGGCTTTGATCGCGTTTAAATCTGTCTGACCACGCCTACAAACTCAAATTGCTTTCTGCACATTATGACGAAGTGTGCTCTTCACAAAAAAATCGAGCTCTATTTTCGAATATGGTATCACACTTTACCCTGTATTATTTGTAGTAAATTATTATTTTTATATTTTAAAATGGCAGACGTATTATGTCTATTAATTTTCATCTATATTAAAATTTAAATAGAGATGAAATTCGTGTTACTACATTTTTTATTTTAAAACTCACTGGGAATGGCTATTCAATATAGATCCTAAGAAAGTCCTAAAAAGAATTCAAAATGAAAAGATTAGCTAAACTTTCTAAGCTCTCCAACGATTAAAATAGAATACCTCGAAATATACCGTATGCCGAAACACCATTTGCCAGCTCTAGTCGCCGAATGACTCGTATACCACCCACCCCCTTTTCGTTGTTGTAGCCGACCGCCCGACACGAATTGGGGCTACCAGCCCCCGCCTCCTGTCATCACCGAGCAGCCCAAGTCCAGCATGCAACACTTCCAACCGTACGAACGAAGTTACCCGAACACGCTCGAAAGTCTGGCCGAAAAGGTGCACTCGTTCGGTATGAGCAGGAGGATGTCCGCAGGCGGGCAACCTCTGGGTCCGAGGTAAGTGTGTGCGCGTGTGTGCCTCGGGGTTCTGCTAAAGGGCCGCTACGCTTCGTCCATGTATACACCGCGATAGATTCGTTAATATTAGTAAAATTAGAATACGTAGATTTTGATAGGTGTAGATAGCAAGTGCTTGGATGATCATGGTCTTAGACTGAATCCTAGAAAGTCAGTGCCATTAGTTTTAAACTGTCTTTTTTTATATTTAAACGTCTTAACATAATGTAACTCTAACCTTATCACCTCTTTTGACATGACATGTGTCATTTATAGAACACGTTTTATGACAACTGACATAATGATCTCTTTCTGATTAGGCAACTAAAACTAATCTTAACATACAACATAAAAGGGATTTATATTATAAATATATTTTAAACCAAAACACAATTTCATAAAGTAACTATAATAGTATAATTTCAAGAATAAAACATTCGAAATATATCCAGTTAGAGCACAGATACACGTTCCAGCTCCTGGAGCAACCGTTCTCAAAAGCAGCTCCATTAGAGCGAATATATTTATCTAAACAATAGAATAAAGGTCTAAATGTTAAAGAGACACTTAAAATCATCCATGATTTATCGCCCGGAAACCGGAACCGATTGTTCAGTGCAAAATTAAATCGGGTGAAATTTTATCCAAACAATATTTCGTGAAATTCGAGAGAAAACAAAAGGCTTTTCAGACGATTATTCAATCAAATTGGGTGACAGGATATATTATAGGGTTCAGGTTGATATTTGTTTATTCGCAGCTTCTGAAATGTTTTTCTTAGCGAAAAAACGGATCAATCATTAAATCAATCTTAAAACTCACCGTACTTGAGTTATTCAGTCGATAGATTGCGATTCAATTAATTTTTTCGCACTATACAGGTAGGCCAAATACATTACAGTGTTGTCATACTAATTAATCTATTTGTAATGGAATTTTGAACCATTTTAATTTAAAATAATTATTCCTAGTGTCAATTTAGGATGACCGTGATTAACTTTGCCACTGAAATTATGACATTCGAAATTATCATTTAGAGTTCCACTTTAATAAAAAAAAGTAATCGATTTGTTACAATTTTAATAACAACGGCAACACTGAGCCTACTTACACATGTTATAAAATGTATCCCCAGGGGGTGTATAGCTTAGCTTAAATTGCCAATCGTTGTCTGAACTTTTTTTTAAATAATATCATTCTAATTTTTGAGTTTATCAAAAAATTACTTAAAAATCTATTTTATGAAACTCTATATATAAAAACAAAGATTTACTACCCTATTTATAGAGTCCTTAGTTTCTTCTGATAAAACAATAGAGAATATGTCAAGTTTATGTGAAGTCATCATTTAGCGTACCGCTGCCATCTTGAATATCAATGCAGGTCGAGTAAAATATCAGAGAAAAGCTTATTTTTTCTTCTTTTAAATTCTGTTAAATAAATCTAGAAACACTGTATAAATCGACAAAACTTACAAAAAGAGAAATTATTATCAAAATCGACAAAACTTGTAGAAATGACAGAATTTATAAAAATCGACAGAACTTATAAAAATCTACAGAACTTAAAAAATCGACACAACTTACAACTTGTATACCAATTGATAGAACTTATAAAAAGATAGCTGTGGTGGCTTGATCTTTTACGTAATGATAAATAAATTGAACTTATAAAAATCGTAAGATCTTATAAAAATAGCAAAACTTATAATAATCGACAGATCTTATAAAAATCAATACAACTTATAAAAATGCCAAATCAGAAATCACAAAAATATTACAGAATTTAAAAAAAAAGCAAAATTTATAAAACAATTGACAGATCTTATAAAAAATCAGAAATGATAAATAAAAGGCAGATCCTATAAAAATCGACAGAACTTACAGGAAGAAAAATGGTAATAAATCGACAGAACTTATAAAAATCGTTAAATCTTATAAAAATGACAAAACTTATAATAATCCACAGATCTTATAAAACTCAACACAACTTATAAAAATGTCAAATCAGAAATCACAGAAAAATACAGAATTTTAATAAACATGCAAAACTTATAAAACAATTGACAGAACTTATAAAAAGACAGTAAGGATAAAAAATGACAACCTATAAAAATCGACAGAACTTACAGGAAGAAAAATGATAAAAAAATCGACAGAACTTATAAAATTGTTAGATCTTATAAAAATAACAAAACTTAGAATAATCGACAGATATTATAAAAATCAACACAACTTATAAAAATGTCAAATCAGAAATCATAAAAAATACAGAATTTTAATAAACATGCAAAACTTATAAAACAATTGACAGAACTTATAAAAAGACATAAATGATAAATAAAAGGTAGAACCTATAAAAATCGACAGAACTTACAGAAAGAAAAATTATAAAAAATCGACAGAACTTATAAAATCGTTAGATCTTATAAAAATAATAAAACTTATAATAATCGAAAGATCTTTTAAAAATACAGAATTTAAAAAAAATACAAACCTTATAAAACGATTAATATAGCTTATAAAAAGACAGCTGTGGGAGCTAGATAATCTAGGTTATGATAAAAAAATGACAGAACTTATAAAAATCATACACAACTATAAAAATGCCAAATCAGAAATCATAAAAAATTACAAAACTTTTAAAATACAGAACTTATAAAACAACTGTCAAAAATGATAAAAAATTGACAGAAATGATATAAAAATGACAGAACCTATAAAAATCGACAGGACTTACAGAAAGAGAAATGATAAAAAATCGACATAACTTATAAAAAATGTTAGATCTTAAAAAAATGACAAAACTTATAATAATCGAGAGATCTTATAAAAATCAATACAACTTATAAAAATGCCAAATCAGAATTTTATTAAAAATGTAGAACTTATAAAAAACGACACAACTTACAAAAAAAATGTAAAACCAGAAATTTTTAAAAATTATTAAAAGTCATAAATTATTTTTTCTACACCCGTATTATAATAATGCACTTATATGCCCATAATCCGTTTCATAATGATACCCATTATGATACAGATTTTTCATTACGATACAGATTTTTAATCAATAGAAACCTACAATTTTTCAATCAAGCATGCTGTTTGACGTTTGTCCTAGGTTCCTATGTAATTATTTTAGTTGTCAAAACGTATTAAATTTTCGTAGGTAGCTAAACTTCGATAATTATAATATTAAAATGTCTGATATTAGCGATATAGAAGACTCCTCCACACATATCGGAGAAAGCAGAAAATACAGTACAAAATATTTTACCGCAAAAATCTAGGGAAATACCAATACCTGAAGTAATACCATTAATTACAATTTTGTAGAATTTTTTATAGAAATACGAGTAATTACTGTTATTGTGTTCAATACCAATATAAATATAATATTTATAGGTCTTGATTATTTATCGGGTGTAGAAAAAATAGCGTATGCAACTCTCATGTAATGGTTATTAAAACACTCGCATAAACCATACGAAACTCGCCTTTGGCTCGTTTCGTATCCCGGTTAATGCTCGTGTATTAATAACCATCATTACATGATCGTTGCATAATATACTATTAAAATTAGTTATTTTGTCTTAATGACCTAAAATATTTTTTTAGTGGGTCGTAGAAAAAATACACCATACAACTTGAGTGGATTGTCCACAACGCACTCAGACGACTGAGCACTCCGCCTACGGAGTCGTGATCAAATTTCGTCTTCGTGCGATATGACCATCATATCCACTCTTGTTGCACAAACTACTATTTTCTACACCCACATGGATATTAGCTTATCTACGCACAGACTACAAAACGAAAAAGTATGTCATTGCGTTCAACCGAACGAATATATCTCATATCCATTCTAATCCAATCACAGTTCATATTTTGGACACCCAACTACTATTATTTTGAAAACTTTAAATAAGTGACAATTCTGTCCAACTAATTTTACTACTGCGGCCATAAAAGTTACGAGCTATTATTGATTTCAATAGTTACTCAGCTCTAAAAAATCATGGTTATTTCAGCTAAGCTCTTTATGCAAATAGACGCTTCATGAACAGGAAATTTATTTCTATTTACTAATTCTTCCTCAATTAGATTAATATCCGATTCATTATCAAAGAGTACTTTCACTTTTTGACCATTTAAAAGTAAATACTCAAAATTATCTCCATTTGTCAGAGAATTAGCATTACACATTTTTAGTTTCACATCTAATGTCTTTCTTATTACTGCTTATTGGCTGACCTTGCATTTGAGAATCTCCTCTTGGCCACTGTCTATCAGATTATTCACCAACCATTAAGGATTTTAGTAGTGGGAGAAGTTCTTCTTTGGAATTGATGATTTTACCTCTTAACTGTTTCTGAACACCAATGGGAAGACCCAGAATTATCATTGCCACTAATGAAAGTTCAGACTATCTGCCTATTTTATTAATTTTTGTTGTTGGTAAAAGTATTCTAGGATATTACCATTATAATATGTTTCCAATTTTCCCATGTATATTTATTTAGTATACTATCTTGGATTCCATCTTCGTACCACCTTAATGCAATGCCTTTTAACTGATTTCTTAGATTAAAATTTTTCTCATTATCCGTAAACCGTTTATTAGCTGAACAGATATATTCATACGAACTGAGCCAAGAAGAAGGATTCTCACCTTGCCCGTCGTATTGAGAAATTTTTATAGGATCTGTTTTAGTTAAAGTGGCAAACATCATCCATTTTGACATTAGCTGATTCAACTCATTTTTTCCAAAAACAATCTTGTCTTGGATACCTTAATCTCCTTTACCATAGTCAATTTGGATAATTGGTTCGTTTTGCTCTGACTGCGCCATATTTTATTATTTACAGGGTTTCTAAATAATTTTTGAAATAAGGTTTTGCTTAAATCAAGTTTAATAATTTATTTATTATGATAATTATTATCACCCATCAACCTAATCCATTTCCCTAGAGACCGCTAAAGACATTCTCTATCTATTACAATAAGTAACACAAAAACTTATATTATGTAACATTTATATTTCAGAACCTATAAATGTAAAATTTCTGTATTAATTTGTATTGTTAGTAAAGTTTATTTTTTATCAAAATAACGGTATTTTGAATTGACCTATAAATTGCTAAATTACAGACCCTATACATTGATTAATTTATTTTCTCATTAAGGGCAGGCTTGTGGATAATATAAATTCCAAAATTTTATTTTTAAACCGCCCTACTGTATATGTTGCCCTTTTTTTTAATTAAAAATTTCCCTCTTCTTCTCGATGTAATGATTGGACCATTTCCACAAAGAAAATATCAATCACAGCACAGATTCGTTTCGGGATAATGATAATTCACCCTTTCCTAAAATGAAAAAGACCAAGATCGTCCACCCCTTAAACAAACGGCGTCTGAAATTATTCGAAGATGGGCACCGATAACGCGTTGGAAATTGCTTTCGAAACGGTCGATTTATCTCTCTCGTCTCTTCTTCTGGGACGGCCGCACGAGAATATAAAACACTGGAAAAATGTGTGTCCTTTTCATGGAAAACATTCGTCACACGTTGGACGCGCATAATGCTTACAAGAAAATTGAGATGCGGAAGAAAAATATGGAAATTTGTTTGTAGGATGTACACGGGTTTGAGTTTTATTTGAAATAAACAAGTGTAGAGATGGTTTTAAAGTGTTATATTATGATGATGAATTGGTATTGGTTTAAAAACACACGCTGTTTTGAATGAAGTACAATTTGTGAGTTCAACTTTATTTAGTTCCAGGATAACTCTTGAAATAACTTTATTACAGAACAAACTACCATCGACAAGTGACAATTTAGATCTACGTGACATAAATGACAATTGACAACTTTGTAATCATGAGTTAGATGATTTAATCACAATAATCTATTTACCTGTTTCTTTAGCATTCTTTTAAAATTTTAACGAAATATCACATGTGGGTTAAAGTTCAGTTAGTTTTCTCAGCTTGCTTCCTATCTAGGAGGCCTGTGTTCTCGTTTTCCAGCACCAATTCAAGAATTACCTTATTATGTTTCATCAGGACCTGGATGGGCTATAGGCAATATAATTTTAAATTTAATTTTTACTCTTTCCAGTACTTTAAGGGATGCTTGGCTGTATATCATAATAAAGAATCTCTTATCCCTAAGAGAGCCATTTAGCATAAACTGTACAAACATTTATTGCTGTTACTTCAGCCTGAGTTACTGTTGCCAGTGACCTCAGGTCTAGATTAATGGTCCTTCCTGAGTTCACATGGTAAATACTAGCTGTTTTTCATCTTCGAACCATCTTTATACCAGATTGGTTCATTTTGTATTTCTCAACTTTCCAGAATTTTAATTCTTTCATGTGTATTAATATCGTCAGCTTTCTTAGATATTCCATCAGTTCCATTAAACTTTTAATACATTTTGTAGTACATAAAACACATATGCATCATATCTCGGAGTACGAAACAAAATTAAAGATTATAAAAAAAATACATTAGGTATTCCCGCTTGTTTTCCAGAATATCTTCCCAGCAAAGCCCTTCCTCTCACTACTACGTTCAACACGCCGGCACTGGTAGTCGAAGAATCATGCCCAGATCCGGGTCCGATCAACACCTCCCTCAAACAGAGTACTGTGACTATACCAGCATCACCCAAGCTGGTAGGCACAGTTTACTGCGCAGCAGTCTTAAATCAGGATCGACTTTAAGCAGGTGAGCCATTTATTAATGTAAAATTTCATCGTTAATGGGGTCTATTCTGTAACAATTCCTTTATATTTAACGGCCTTTAAAAATATTGGCGGCCTTTAAAAGTATATTTGTATTCGTTAATTTACTTCTGTCATTATTTAAACAGATTTCTTTAAGATAATCCTCTAATGTATTTTAAAGATCCGTTTAAATAATGACAGAAGTAAAGAAGAAAATATTTTTAAAGGCCGTTAAATATAAAGGAATTTTTACAGAATAGACCCCATAGAGAGTTAATGGTTGTCTACACTAAATAATATAATAAATAACATACTAAATATTAAACTAAATAATATAATATACTACACAATAATATATGTATATTAAATAATATACTAAATTAATATCCTAAGTAATATACTAAATTTATGTTTTAAATAATATACTTCAGTGTGCTAAATTACATTTTAAATAATATAGTAAATAATGTACCAAATATAATACTAAAAATATATTAAAGAATATAATAAAGAATATACAAAAATATATACTAAAGAAAGTACTGAATAATATATTATATAGTACACTAATAAGTGTACTAATAATATACTAAATAATATACTGGATAATATACTAAATAATAAACGGAATATTATACTAAATAATGTAATAATTATATATTAAATAATATACTATACTACATAATAATATACTAAATAATATACCAAATAATATACTAAATAGTATACTAAAAAATGTATTAAATAATATACTTAAGAATGTACTAAATAATATATTAAATAGTACACTATATTCAATAATATATTAAATATTTTAAATAATATACTAAACAATATGTTTAACAATATGCTAAAGCATGTGCTAAAGAATGTGCTAAAGAATGTGCTAAAGAATGTGCTAAAGAATATGCTAAGGAATATACTGAAGGACCAAATAATGTACTACATAATCAAATAAATAGAAGGGAACAAGTAATCGTATGAAGTGTAAAATTTAATTTATTTCAGTGCGCAATTGTCAAAAACGTATAGAAAAATTTTATTGGCCTCATAGCCTCAATAAAAATGTGTATAAACAGTAAAAATAAGCTTATGCTTGATTATAATTAAATTTTACGTCATACAATTACTTGTTTCCTGTACACAGCCGCCCACATCCTTGTATGTTTTTTAGAATATACTAAATATTATACTAAATAATATATAGTAGGTATACTAAATAATAAATTAAAAATATATTAAAGAATATACTAAAGAATATAATAAATAATATACGAAAGAATAAATAATATATTAGAGAATTGACTGAAGAATGTACTGAATAATATATTAAATAGTACACTAAAAAATATACTATATAATATACTATTATATGAATTATATACTAAAAAATGTATTAATGCGTGTAAGTATTAAAGAATACACTAATGAATATAATAAAGAATATAATAAAGAGTATACTAAAGAATACATTAAAGAATATAATAAAAAATATACTAAAGAATGAACTGAATAATAAATATATTACACTAAAAAATGTTCTAAATAATATACTAAATATACTAAATAATATAATATACCAAATAATATACTAAAGAATGTAGTGAACAATATATTAAATAGTACACTAAAAAATGTATTAAATAGTATAATATAATATATTAAAGAAAATACTAAAGAATATGCTTAAGAATATCCTAAAAAATGTACTAAAGAATATGCTAAAGAATATACTAAAGAATGTACTAAAGAATATACTAAAGAATATACTAAAGAATATACTAAAGAATATACTAAAGAATATACTAAAGAATATACTAAAGAATATACTAAAGAATATACTAAAGAATATACTAAAGAATATACTAAAGAATATACTAAAGAATATACTAAAGAATATACTAAAGAATATACTAAAGAATATACCAAAGAATATACTAAAGAATATACTAAAAAATATACTAAAGAATATAGGTATTACCTCATTTTAGAGAAAATAATTGTATTTAATAATATATGTATAACTATTCAACGTTTTTTTTTTTTTAGATACAATCAAAGGTTTGTGGACCAGGCAGCCGTAGCGGCTCAAATAGCCCAAGCAAAATACGGTACCAGCGGTTCGCAGTACCCTGCTGCTAGTACGATGCGTCGAACTAGGGGTAGCTTAGATTATTCCAGCGATACCGAGGCTACGTCCGGTAGGGCGGGTTACTACTATTACGGGTGAGTACAGTTTGATCTTAGAGTTCATTATGGAATATTTTTATTTTTATATTGATTATTTGGGTTTAAAATATTTACGGATTACTAGGGAAACGATTTTATTTGCTATTGTTCTTTTGTGAAGATTAATCGGAATGTCAGTTTGTTAAATGTCTCAATTAATCTCATGTGAATTATCTAAAAGAAAAACGATATTAAATGTGGTAGACGATTCTATAAAGCAATTCTTTTTGTTTTTATTATCCATAGACAGTTGCACCTCTAGTATCATAAAACTATACTACTTTTTCCATCTACAAACGAAAGACAGCGAATATTTGATATGCAATTTATTACATCGTTTATAAACAATAGAAATAGAACGGGACCAATGCTGGAACCTTGAGGAACTCCAGACGTCAGTGATGTATCAAAAGAGACTGAATAATGACTGTTAAGTAATAGTTAATAGGAGAAAATTTCTGAGCTAACAATTTGTGACAGACACTATCGACTGCTTTAGACAGATATGTGTCGACTTGATGATATGTTTTTGATGTCAAATTTGTCGCCCTTCTTATAAGTTGGAGAAAAAATAATAGAATCGCCATTTTTGCTATTTCAAACTTTATATTTAGGGCAAGTAGTATTAAATGTTTCGAAACTATTTGGTAAAGCAGCGATCGTTGAACGTTAGCCTGGCACCAAAAGCCGACATCAGCAATTTTCATAAATTTCCAGCCGGGCAAGTAATGAAAGCTAATGCTCCGTCACATATTTCTCTCTCCGGCGAAAGAAGGAACCGTTTATCTCAATGAAAACGGCGGACCCATTCAGATTTCATAAACGGGAAATTTTGTGCATGCGAAAATGTAAAAAGGCCACCAGAAAAGCCGTCGATGATTAATCGTTGGAAGAGTGGGAAGGGGCTGCAGCTCCGGGGAGTTTATGCAGTTTTGGAGGTTGGGATGTTGGTAATGGAGGTGCAACTGTCTGGAAAGAAAGCCTCTATTTCAGAGTGACGGTCTCGATAAAATATACAGTATATTGTAATGATATCCATTTTAATAAAATAAAACCAAACTCCCAGTAAATATTTTAATTTAATTAAATTATTACTTTACTAAAATCTACAAAAATTTTATTTATAAAATGGGACTAGTATAATTACAATGTCTAATATTTGGAGGTGATGACAAACGGACTTCTTTTAAGTAAATAAACAACAGACTGGTTACAGGTCACCTGTCACCACTGTCACTTTAACCGCCTAAATAACGGGTCATTGCCAAACTTTTGACGGATTATTTACAGGTTTTAAAGCACCATTAGGTAAAAGACAGCGCCAAATTGTCACAGAGGACATAAAGGCAACGAAGAGGCTGATTTACTAGCCTGAGAAGGAGCCTCAAAGGCTCTTATTGGCCCAGAACCCTTCTGTGGTGTTACAAAGACAACTATCAGAACATGCACAAAGCAGTGAATGTTTAAAAAATCTCAGGAATATTGGTGAAAAATTCACCAGGACAGAGACAGGCCAAAGAGTTCTTAAAAGAACCATCGCCTAAACTCACCAAGCATATACTAAGCCTTAATAGGAAAAATACTAGAGTACCAGTAGGTCGATTAACAGGACATTGTTAGGCTTAACAAGCATATGTATAATATCGGTCTGACAGAAGAGACTTTATGCCGATTTTGTCAGGAAGAGAAGGAAACTGCAGAACACGTATTTTACTACTGCGAAGGTGTAAAAATTCCTTACACATGGAGAAGAAAAACCAAGGGCAACTAGCTACGCCGGAGAACTACTTCCCAGTTTTTGGAATCTACTACAAAAGACCGAAATAGGCAAGGTACTCTAAAGATTAAAGAATATCCACAATAGATCTGAAAAGGTCGAGGTAAGAGAGGCCACATGGCCCACAGTCCTAATTAAATCTAAGTAGTGAAGTAAAACAAAAATACAATAATTGAGGTTGGTAAAGGCACCGAACCCACGGAATATGTATAATATAATAAATTCCTTAAACATCGTCTATAACGATGCAACTGGTAACACAAGCGTACCTATTTTGACATTTGACAGTAGACTGACACAGGACAATGACAAGTAGATTGGAGTGCTCAAGAGTAGTTTTGGGGTCCACCAGGTTAGACTGTAATTATCAACAAAAAAAAAAGTATTGTCGCGCAAAGCCGACTCTGTTCTTTGTTTACTACATTACCCACGATATGAAGTCTAGCGCTTGCCATATCGAGACAAACGTACTGCTTCGAAAAGTTACCGAAAAAATCGATTTGCCGCGGCTGAGTCATTGAGAAGGAGTTCCTGGACGTTCTAGATCGCCTAGAAACTACTGGTGCAGAGCTGGCTTTATATAAATAGCGCAAATTTGTCGATAAACGTTTCAAATTAAGTGTTGGATAGTAAAGACAAATTGTAATAAATTAATTGGAATTATAATAATGCCTAAGTTTTAAATAAATTATAAATAAACTATTTTTAATAATTAAGCCATTTTTAAATTAAAGAATCGTTACAGTATATAAATAATGAAAAATGAGGATGAAGGATATACATGGGATATACATTCTGAGATATCGATCAAAACTTATAAATGTGACTACGTTGAAAGTTTTGGAATAACTATTACAACAGGTGTAGATAGTTACATTGTAGTATTTCACACCCTGTATAACACTAAAAAGAGACTTTTAGCATTACAAGAAAAACGAATATTCAGAATTTTCTTCATTTTTTAAAATCAGCTCAGACCTTCGCGAGATGCAGTCTCCTACAAATGACGATAAAATTAGGTGTATGGACTAATTGCGTGAACAGTTTAATTGCAATTTAATAGTAGAAGAACCCACAGCAAATTTCGACCGTCATCTGATAGCGAAATGAAATATGCTCCAAAAGCATGTAACAACATTGTACTTTACCAAATGGGGTCTGTGCCAATCCCTATTCTGAGAAAAGTGGTTAAAAAGATTATTTTATATTCCAAAAATCACATAAGATATGCCAACGTTAATTTTGTTTGCAGAATTAGAAAATATCACTTATGAAACCACCAGTCACCTGTTTTGGATTTCGTCGACCTTTTTTCGTATCGCACTTAGTGCGATATGGCCATAATATCCACTCATGTGGCACAAACTACTATTTCTTTTTGTTTTCAGGCGAAATCAAGGCGGCGCGACGACAGCCGGCATCCCCCACAGCACGATTCCGACATTAGGTCGTCAAAATTCTATGGGAACGGCGGACATCGCGAACAAATTTAATTCGCTGCCGCGAGACACCAGAGCGGCGTCAAGGTATGACACGAATTTTGAACTTTTAATTAAATTCCTTAGTTTCTAATTTCGACATTTACCCTTCATTAGCGTTTTTGTGAAGGTCGAGTGAGTGTTAATATTCTAGAGAGGGTGACGCAGTTAAAAAAATATTTTTAACACCAGTCATGGGCGCTGCCAATCTAACTAAAATGGCAAAAAAAACATACAATTAAAAAATTTTAAATTATTTAAAAGAAGTAACAGTTTTCTAGCTGAGTCTAGGACGTGATAGACAGAGTTGTTTTGTAAATTAATTGTAACAGGTTCCTATTATGTCACAGTTATAATTATTACAAATACGCATAATTCTAGATAAAGAGTTAAACTAACCATAGTTCGTTCTATGATGTGGAAGCTCAAACAAAACTACATTACGTGTTTACCTAGCTAGTACACAAAATGACAAAGATAATAATATATCGTTACAATTTATTTTACCGATAACATTTTATGAAAAAACAAAAGGTCATTAATTAACAGCTTCCAATCTTGATGAGGAAACCAAACAACAGATGCATATTCAAGAATAATGTTCTCAATGCTGCAATACTCATCAAGTCTTTAGAGCTTCTAATAATAAAACCAAGTAACTAGTAATTTTGGATTTGGATATAACAATCTAAACTTGACCATCTAACTAATTAACATTATATTGTTTTTCTTCTTCAATGTTACCGATTTATTGTTACATAACTTTAATAAATAATAACGCAGTTCCTTCTTATATACCTCGCCTAATATCCAAACTTTCGATATATTTTTTTCCCATTATATACCCAAATTGTATTACACATTTATCCCCAATGTACCAACACTTTTAAATTTTCAAACTTTTTTATGTTTATGTAAGAGACGAAACTTTTCACCCTCCTACCTGGGCTGTGCACCTTTTATTAGTACTAAAGTGCTTCTTTCTTTGCCCCCAGATTGGCAATGAATAAAAGATTCGGCGGAGATCGAAGCGTGTCTCTAATACAAGACGAAGGTGATGGGGCGCTTTCGGCGCCCGAGATGCCTTCCACCATTAGAAGGGATAGAGGTAAGTGTGAAAGTCCTTCAACAAGTTTATTTTCTGCGTACAGTTTATTAAGTGCTCAAACAAGATGATTTGCCCAATAATATTTAGATTATAAAACTATCCACATATACAGAATGGCCAGATGAAAATATACATAGACATTATCAGGAACTGCGCAAAAATTTTAGACAATTTTTTATTTAAATGATGTTAAATATCTTCAGGGTATCTATTCTTGAATCTCAGGGAGTAGAAATTTTGAGATGAGTGAGACAAAAATACAAATTTTGTTCGTTACAGATAAAGAGAAAAAAACAGCTTCCTATTCCCTTGAATTCAAGAATAACTACCCTGCTGTCAATTCTTTTCCCCTTACTAGTTTTATTAATGTGATTTGCTCCACGACCCTTCGATGCAACTTGCAGAAAAGCTCGGGTAGTTTAAGATGAAGATAACGGAAAATTCCAGGGGTTAGGTTGTTATTATACCTAGTGCAATAGTTACAATAACTTTTTGTTTTGTTTTATTGTATTGTTTGCTTCTTTTGTTTTAATTTACTATCTTTTTCTAGTGTAAAATAAAAATAGTTTCATATACTTTGTTCCTAAAATCACGAAATATTTAAATTTCATTAACGCCCTCTACCGGTGACAGTAAGAATAACATTAAATATACTTTAATAAACCATTAAGGATAGATTGATCAAGGAAAGTAATTTCTAACGAGTTTAAATTGTTATATTTCGTTCAGTAGATCCAGAATAATTGATGTTTAAAGAAATAAAAAAGTGGACGGTTGCTTCTTTATTTTTAAATTTAGAGGATTGCGCTATTTGCTATTTGATTATAAATTTAATTCTGAAAAGAACATTAGTGCCAAATATTTAAATATTTATTTTGCTAAAAGGATATATCATTTATTTATTTTTATAAAAAAATAGCACTTGCGCTCTCTTGTAAAAATGTCAAACTTTTATTTATAAAATTAAACATTCCACTGTCTAAAAACTATTTACATCCGTAACATGGCGTACTTTGAACATTTATTGTACTAATTTTAATTTCAAGCGTCTTTGTAAATGAAACGAATACATTTAAAATGTCAAAATGACATTTCATTTCACAAATAAGGAATCGGTCAAAAATAATTGAAAGACCTCTCAAACAAGGTGTCACTCTACCCCACTTTCCATTTAAGATTTTAAGGGTGTGCAGCACCATGTTCAATGAGTTAAAGATAGGGGTTTGGAAATAAGTGTAAAGATGGTTTTCACCTCGACAAATAAATTGAGGTATTCAAGCGGTTTTTATTTAATGACATTATAAGAACCTTAAATTTGAAACGTTTAGTTTTTATTGGCCCATCCTGTTTAGTACATTGAAAGAGGAAAGACGTTTTTTAAAAAAAATCAAGTTTACAAAATTCGGCCCAGTAAAATAGCAGTTACAGGGTCCTATGATTGAACGTTTATGTTATCCATAACTTACATGTTAGGTCGAATTTTAACAGTAACGAAGCAAGTTTGTATGATGCAAAACTGTTAAATTAGAACATAACAGGCGGAAAATAACAGTAATGTGTTGGAAACCGTTTTTCATCATACGAACTTGCCTAATTACTGTTAAAACTGAGCCTAACATGTACGTTACGGATAACGTAAACGTTCAATCATAGGACCCATTGTCTGTTCGCTATACTTACGCGGGTTTCGGATTAAAAATTTGATGAGTATTTCCAGGTAAGTACCCCAAAGTTTGACCTGTTCTTTGGGGAAATATCAATTGGTTAAATGAAATGAAAAATAATGTACAACCTTTTAATTAAATAATAATGGAGAATCTTTTGTATAATTGAGAGCAGAATTAAACTTCTTCATTAATGGAGTCTAATGTGGCTATCATAAACCTAATAATAATTTTATATTACACTTCACACCGAAAATATGGTCTATGTATATATAATAAGAGGATTATTTAGATCAAATAAAATATTTTCTAACATAAAAATTTGTTCCATGTAGAGAATTTCAAATGAAAAATAAAAAAATTGAACTTGCCAACAAAAATGAAAATTAGTCATTATCCAAAATATCATAATCGTCATCATCATCACTGTCATTACCATTAATTGTTATTATGATTGGACTTATTTCGTTTATTTTATTTTCACGAGTCTACCAATCTTCTATTAGTTTCTCGCACTTGCAATATACAGTTCCGCCACACTTCTGGAGTTGCAATTGAAAGTGCTTTTCGCTAAGTTTCCCGAACTGCGTCGTCACTATAACCATTAGGCCCAATATGGTTGTCATAATATTGTTGTGCTATTCCCCATATATATTCGATGGGATTAAACTTGCAATGATACAGTGGCAGACGTAAAACTTGATGACCGTAACTTTCAATAATCTAATCCACAACAAAGGTTTTTGGTTTTGCGTGTATATTTGCCAAGCGTAATAATTCTGATTTTAATATATATTGAGGAAATGGTATATGTTCCTTTGTCAACCATTCTTTAATTTTATCAACAGTCCAAGAATTCGTCGGACTTTTGTTTAATTAATACTTCAGAATGGTAAGGTGCATTGTCTAAAATAATTACGCTGGGTAAATGATCCCAACCTGGGAAAAGTTTTTCATGCAACCATTTTACAAACATTTCTGTTCATATTATCGTGATAGTCAATGGATTTTGATTTAGATGAAAATATTAAATCAGCACCTATAAAACCCGATTTCCCTCCTGCATGTAAAATTATGTGTCACTTCCCTTCTCCAACGTTATGTTTGATGGACTTTACGTTATCATCTTGTCATTTTCTCTTGGTTGCACCCCTAGAAAATATCCATGTTTCATCTAAATATATAAAATTCGCCCCTTCTTCTTTAAATTTAGAATATTTTCTTAGAAAGTTTATTCTCTTGTGCACGACAGAACTTCTTTCACAAAGGGCCTTTCTGTTATCCTCCTTTTGAAATTTGAAACCCAAGTTATGTATCACTTGCCATAGACTTGTTCTGCCAATGTTGTCAAATTTTCTATCTATTAATTCCGAAAGAATTGTATTTAAGGTCACATGTTCCTTGTTGGCCCTCATTCGATAAATGATATCACGAATTTCAAATTTCTTTCCATCCTGAATATCTTTCATTTTCAATGATGGACGAGTTTTGCGAGATCTTCTTTCAGCAGTTCGCTATTGTGATTTTGTAATACTCTTAATTTGGTTTCACTAATTCCTGGAGCATCGCATACGCGTTGTTGTACAGACATTACCGATTTTAAAGGACCGCCATTTTCTTTTTCATCCGTAAAATACTTATGTACACTACAAATTAGACTTTCTACATCTAATACACGTCTAGGCATTTTTAAAATTTCCACTAAATTTACAATATACATACAATGTCAACACTTGCAAAGAATCAATTCAACTGCAATATTTGTAACAAATTTAATACCTATCCTAATGTTATTTTAATTTAAATCTGACCATTAGGGCAATTTTACCTAATTTCTTGGGATGAGGCTTATTGGAACTGGTTATCAATGACTAATTTGCATAATTTTGGAAATCCGAAACCCGCGTAAGTATAGCGAACAGACTGTACGAGTGTTGATCCCTATTTTTCATATAATCTCCCTCAATTGTAATGCACTTGTCACAGGGATGCTCTAGTATTTTAAAATTGTCATAAATAATATTTTCTCCAAACCATTCTCTCTTACTATAATAATTGTATTATTTTAGTCCTACATTTTTTCCCTTTACTCAAACGATCGCGCCCTTGTAAAATTCCAAAACTGCTCTTCATATTTTATGGTAATACAGACCCTCTGTTGTTGGATGTTCATTTCAGAACGTAAAACCCGTTTTTTGTCTTTCTTTTCGTGCATTTTCCGCCTATTTTGTATACATTTCTGGCAGTAAACGAGATTGCGCGACGCTCCACTTCTATTCATTCTTATTTACAGAAAGAATTACCTACTGTGGAAACGCAAAAAAAACAACTTGCAATTCTGTTTACTGAAATTGAAATTATTTAGGTATGCAGAAACGTTTGTTATGCTGCAATGTGCCTAATTTGAATTCGTAATAGTAATTTTAATAAATCAACTTTCTGTTTATTTTCTAATAATAAATAAAAATATCTAATAATGTATTATAAATTATTATATTAAAAGATTTTTTGTCGAGCCGGCAACAGTGTTTAAAAACTTTTTATTCCTAACTATCTCTAGCACAAGAATAAATAAAAACCAGAAGGATATCTCTCATTTAATTCCTTTGTAGTTGATGCCGACGAGCTATGATCTCGTGTTTTAGTTATTACTTGTATTCCATAGGCGCACCGAAAAAAGATCAGGAAAATATAAAAAAATATTGGGTAGCTATTGATTTATTTTTTAAGTTGATACATTCAAATTAAGGTAAGTAAAAGATTTATATATATAAAAAAATATTTGCTTATCTTTTCAAATGACAACCTTTTTATCTTTTATAGTTTTAAAATTTCGGTTAATACATTTAAAAATATAAAATAATCTTATTCTACCGAATAATTTTATGAAATAATTATGTGGAAATTTTTTACATGGATGTGAAAAACTTGTATTTCTACAAATACTTTGAAACGTATCTATTACATTTTTGTGTATAATAATAGTTTCAAAATTTATTTGAAATATTACCTCTAAAAAGGAGATAAATTTTACAAAATCATTGTGTGGCATGTTTAAGTTACCAAATAAATTTAAATTGGAGCTGTTATAAACTTTATAGTAACAAAATAAAGATGTATCGTCCAAATTTTGATAGGCTTTTGAATATTCCTGGCAAATTGTACAAGAATGTATACCTAGATAGGCATTTTTTCATTAGGTAACCCGCAAAATACCTTTCGAAATTCGTTTCTAACGTGGACTCTTTTTAACTGCTATCAATTTCTGGCAAATTTGATGTATGGGGATATGTATGAACTACGAATGAATTTGTATCCTCTTTAATGACATCAGATACTCACAGAAGCATATTATCCATGTCATTCTCGCAGTTTTGAGTTCCTGAATTGAGTAGCTTTACACAGAACATCTTTCTAAAGGTTCTATGAAATTAAATGGCTGTTGGATTAGCACAATTACTATTTTGCTGTCTTATAAGACCAAACAAATTTTCTAACGGATCTTGATTTAAACATTTAGTAAAAAGAAGCTTAACGTTTTTTATTTCAAGAAAATCCCATAAATGAAGAATGGAGCTAATTGTTATTTTAAAACCTGTTATAAACTTCATTTTTTTAGTTACATCCTCGCCTAGGTTATTAAAAACTTTTAAGTTGTCCAACAGAAATAACATCTCATTTAAAAATGTCATTTAACAGTCTGATGTTTTTGATGAGTTTAAAATATTAAATAATTTGTCGATGTTATCAATAAAATCAGCAGTTGCCTGGGCTTCATTTGACAAGTTACCTAATTCGACGTACACATTTAAAGCCGCTGAAACTGTAAGACTAAATACCTGACTTGCATATTTTACCTTCATTTTTTCAAAATTACTAGGAAATATATGCGAATCAGTTAGTTTAGGCGCTGATCCAGTAACTAACGACTTATCAATATTATAAAATTGCGTAATATATGACCAAGAAACTATTTTATTAGAAATAAGAAAAGTATGTTTCAGTAACATGTTTCTCATAGCCTTGATGAGGTGAGGTGTATCGGATATAAAAAGATCTCTCAGGAGTTATTTGCAAGAAGTTTTTACATTGAATATTATTGGAGCCCATATCACGATTTCGATACCATTGCCGGTCGCTACTGCACTGAAAGTTTCGGTGTAGAATATCGGTGTAGGTGTGCTTGAAAGTCACGAGCCTTTGAAGATCACGTGATCGGAGATATCTTTCTGGTTATTATTTATTCTTGTGCCTCTAGTCTTTATGTTCATAATAGTTTTAATTTGTTACACACCCTCAAAAGTCACCAAATAACAAAACCTAAAAACGCAACACTTAATACCAGTAACTGCATGTAAAGTATGTCATCTAATTCTGGTGTGAATATTGTAATTTTTTTTTAATAAGAAAAATGTTTGTCAATACTTTCTCATTTCTCCAATTCCCGCGATAATATTTTATTCCCAAAAGTATAAAAAACTTCTAAAACATCTATGTGACATTTATAATTCAAAATCACAATATTTTCCAATCAACTTTTTCAACCAATAACGTATCTACTGACAAAATTGCTTCTCGATTCGCCATGAAATCCCTAGTAATCCCTATTCCCTAAGGAAACACGTGGTGTAGATGGATATATATATATATATATATATATCGGTTTTGATTAATCCCGTTACAGGAATTAACGGAATAAATATACGGGGGATGACCAATAAGATCAAAATTTGTTTGTGGTTACTAGGTTGTTTCATTTTTGATCAACTTTTTTTTCCAATAAAAAACAGGCTAAAAACTATCAGGAAGGTGAAAAAATAAGGCTCTAAAAATTTGAGCTCTTAATATTAACATTTAGTAGTAAAGAATTTTTTTTCCTTGTTATTTAAATGGAAAATGGAAAGTTAGGAATAGGCACCACTTAATGTTAATATTAAGAGCTCAAATTTTTAGAGGCTTCTGTTTTCAACTTCCTGAAAGTTTTTAGTCTGTTTTTCAAAGTTTTTTAAAGTTGCTCAAAAATGACACACCCTAGTGGTTACAGATTTTTATTATTAGATATTTAGACTTTCTAGATTGTTTCCATTCCATTATTGTATAAATTCAAGAATAATATAGTTATTGTTAACGAAACAAATTTAACGTATAAGCTTAAACGGGAGTATGAAATAGGTATCCCCATAAAAATGCGTTCCCCGCTTCATTTCCATTCTAAAACTAAACGTTTCGGCCTTTTCATCATCACGCATCCCAACGAGTGTTATTAATTTTCATACTAAAGGAAGGATACCGTCGTCAACTAGTGTGTTCTCTTCAGATGAGTACAGGCAATGGTTGAGCAGAACTCCGTCTACGTCGGCCATCTACGAGCAAATCAGAGCTTCTAGAGACGTTTTGAACCAACAGAGAGCAGCGAGGTTCACCTACAGCGCCGAGAATATTCACGATGCACTCAAAAATGTAAGTGTTTCGTGGAATCGTTGTAGAAATACAGGGTGTCCCAAATAAGAGTGATAATAATAATACTCTCCCTAATTCATCCCCTTACGAGTGAATTTCAACCCCTGAAGTCGACTGAACGACTTGTGTAGGGGAAGGGACGGCTATTATTATTATTTGCCGTGGCGCTCCGGGGCGACTTAAGGATGATTGATGGTGCCATTTGACTTACAGGTGAGGAAAACCCGGAAAACCTCACCCACCATCATCGAGACGATAATGTATGACTATTTTATAATCTGCATGTCATATCAATAGAAATTGAATTTTCTATTAATACGGCACACATCAAATCCTAAACCGAACCATGCAATTTAATTAAAAATCCACATGGTCTGGTCTGGGATTCGAAGCCCAGCAGTCTCGGACTCATAAACTTGCCTATAAATGAATATAAGCGCGTTAGACCGCTACACCATCGACCCGATTTTAAATGTAAATGCACAGCTTATTAATTGCTCTAAAAAGATGGGGTTTTCACTAATTGCTTTCGTTTATCCAAAAGTTTTTTTTCAAATTTATTCACATTTTATCACATCAATACAGGGTGATCCACTAATGTTGGTCAACTTGAATGAAAAAAATATGTATTATTTTAAATGGAACACCCTGTATATTTTGATGGCATTCAAAAGAGAGATTCATCTACTTTTTAAAAATATATAGTTTGATATCTTTTGTTTTCTTAACAACACAGATTTTCGAGTTTTTAAGTAATACTGCTGTTTTCTTTTTTTTTTTTAAATTGACATTAAATAAAATTTAGAAAAATCGTTTGAACATTTAAAATTTCACTTGCGAATGTGCATTGAACAAGAGGGTAGACACATACAACATTTATTGTAACTTTTACATCCTCATTATAAATAGGTATGTGTTTTCTAATTTTTAATGTCACGTTTTGTTACTGAATAAATTCTTTTTGTTAATTTTATTTAATGTCAGTTTTTAAATAAAGAAAACAGCAGAGTTTCTTAAAAACTCGAAAATCTGTGTTGTTAAGAAAACAAAAAATATCAAACTATACATTTTTAAAAAGTAGATGAATCTCTCTTTTGAATGGCATCAAAATATACAGGGTGTTCCATTTAAAATAATACATATTTTTTCCATTCAAGTTGACCAACATTAATGGATCACCCTGTATTGATGTGATAAAATGTGTACAAACTTGAAAAAAAACTTTTGGATAAACCAAATCAATTACTGAAAACCCCATCTCTTTAGAGAAATTAATAAGCTGTGCATTTACATTTAAAATCGATCACTCTTATTTGGGACACCCTGTATTGAAAAATGTAGAATAATGTTGAAAAGTGTAGGAAAATGTTGAAAAACATCGAAATATACCGATATTTTTCGATATATTTCGATATATTGCGACGTTATTGATAGAACTGTTTAAAATGGTACCTTTAGCCATACAATAATCTGCCTATGCATGGGCGCGACATAAGTTTTTTGAAAGGTAACGAAATATTATTAAAAAATAAAAGAAATAAGGAAACTAAAATAAAATTGTAATAAAAATCAAATATCTCAGCTTCAAATAACATTTACATGTATATGTTCTTCATTATCAACCTCATCAGATGAAGATGCAAATTTTTGTTCGCTCATTTTACTATAGAATTAAAGAACAAACGGAAGAATATTAAAAAATATATTTCAAATAATGCAAATAAAACAAGAACAAGAGACTTACAGAACCCATATAATTCCCAACTGTTTATTTTTGTACGAGTGTCTCTTGTTCTTGCTTCATTTGCAATATTTGAAATATTATATTTTTTAATATTCTTCTGTTTGTTTTTCAATCCTATGGTGAATTATATGTGCATCTTCATCTGATGAGATTGATAATGAAGAACATATACATGCAAATGTCATTTGAAGCTGAGATATTTAATTTTTATTACAGTTTTATTTTAGTTTGCCTATTTCTTTTATTTTTATAATATTATTTCGTTACCCTTCATAAAACTTTTGTCGCGCCCATACATAGGCAGATTGTTGTATGGCAAAACGTATATTTTTGAACAGTTCTATCAATACCGTCGCAGTTGTCGAGTTGAAATAAATATATCGAAATATATCGAAATATATCGAAATATATCGAAATATATCGAAATATATCGAAATATATCGAAATATATCGAAATATATCGAAATATATCGAAATATATCGAAATATATCGAAATATATCGAAATATATCGAAATATATCGAAATATATCGAAATATATCGAAATATATCGAAATATATCGAAATATATCGAAATATATCGAAATATATCGAAATATATCGAAATATATCGAAATATATCGAAATATATCGAAATATATCGAAATATATCGAAATATATCTAAAAAGATTGAAATATATCGATAAATATGAAAAAACGTAGAAAAATATCAAATTGGTCCAGGTAGTAACAAAAATATACTATTTTAGATGGAGAGTGGGTTATACAGCGGGTACGGACGTCCAGGAACGACTTCGACTTTAGACAGGCATTTTCCTAGGTCGCAAACGTCAAGCATTCCAGCGAGATCATTATCAACTCAACATATCACATCAGGTAAGTGCATAATTTACTCAGTGGTTTTATTTTTTGCTTTAAATCGTAAAAACTTAAATATCAAAGTTTATGAAACAAAAAGTATACTATCAAACATCCATGGCCAAGTGGGAACCATATTATACATTGGACGTTGCAATTTTTACTTCGTTATAAACTTAAAACTGCTTATGATATTCTGCTTAAATTTGAAACGTTGACAAGAGTTTTAGGTAAAAAAAAAACGTATTAAAATTATGACTAATATTAATTCATAGACGTAGAACTTGATTTTCTCAATAATAGCGCATTTTTAATTTCTACGCCATTTAAAAAAAAGGGGTTAGAGTGTGAAATTTGGATTGATCGTTTACTACAAAAAAGGTACTTTTGATGAGACTTGATTTTTCCATGGGTTTGGCGAAATCTGTATTTTAATAATTTGGAGTGTGAATTTCACAAAAGAAGATGTATATACTAAAATGTGAATACAAGTAACAATAATTTCATAAAATCTGTTCAAAGTGTTTACTATTTCCATGAATACAAAGATGTTTAAATATTTGTCCTAATACGGGGTCGGTACTGTCGAATTCCAAAAATTCTTTTAAAATACATCGAAAATTCATAACTAGTCAAGACGAAAACTACTTCACACCTGAATGTGGTGTGAATTATATAAAACTCAACAAACGATGGTACCATTTTTCATCTCTCTTATTACGAGGCATCTCACTCGCAAGTGGTAAATTATTGCAGTTGACTGTTCAAGCCAATTAAATAAAAACACAGAGCCAATTTTAGCCAATGGTGTTCAACCCAATCGTATTTATTTTTTTCATTATTTTGTTGTGCTCGTCTCTGTTTTGAAGGACGACGGATTTGGCGACTCATTCGAAGTAAAGCGGTCAAAAAATTCTGGAAATGCAGGTTTTTTGCATCTCACATTGCATACATATCACTTCGAGCACCACATTTCCTATTTTCGTACCAAACAAAATAAAAATAAGCTTCAAGCAGTATCTATCAATATAATCCCAAGTTTTTATTTATTTATTTATTTATTTATTTATATTAAGTGAACATACGTTTGTAAGCTATCAGACAACCATATTGGATTTTTTACATGCCTAATTGTAGATTGTTTCGTATATTCTGTATCCAAATACGAAACTCTCCATGCAAACGTTGATAACATTACCAGCAAGCAATGCAATAGCACTTCATTTTCCACTAATAATACTACAACATCTATTAGTAAATCCGCGAGTGAACAATTATAATTGCTCTTCAAAACTAACGACCCGAGTAGCGATGTGTCGTTCATGAACGACCCGTTCAAAAAGAACGAATCATCCCGAAGATCCGTGATCGATTCAATCACTCTTCGTGACCCTATCGTTCATATGACCCTGTTTATTTATGACATTTTTAATGTGCTTATGAATTAAAGAGCTGTTTTTTCACCGAGTGATTGGTGACTGAACAGAATATAATGAATGACTGAAAATGTAATGCAGTGAACGATGATCGTGATGACGTGGTAGTGATTCGTGATCGCGATCGATTAAACACTGAAACGAGAAGGAAGTAAAAAGTACCAAGGCTTCATAATATAATATAGACATAATCATAAATCTGTATCCATCTATGTCTGTTACGAATTACGAATGTTCAACAATAAACTGAGATGAGACGAGACTGTGACCATTATGATCCGGTTCATAAAAAGAGCCGACAGAGTATTAATATAAGCGCTTACTGTGCAAATCATAGACGATGTATAAATTCTCATTCACTGATCATATCGTTCATATGAACGAATCTTTGTGAACGGGTCATTCAAATGATTGACCTTGTCTGACCCGGGTCGTCAAGATGAACCGGGTCTTCCCATCACTAGACCCGAGTGCACCCGCTGCGTTTGATTAATTTCGACTGCCGCCCCCACCCTGCACCCTTCCCCCTTACCTTACCAAAGCCGCATCACGGTTTTCATTGTACTAACGAATTTCCCTTTACACATGGGGGCCGAAAACTTGAAAGAGATCCGCGCAAACTTTGACATTTGATATCCGAAAATTAATTTCCCGCCGGCTTCCCAATTGAACGGAAAATTATAGAGAATCGGGACGTAATTGTGCGGCGCGTTATCATCCGTTCGCGATTTGAATTACCATGACAGGAGAGTGTACGAGGTGCTTTCGAAAAGTATCTACTTACATATTTGTGGCACAGATTAAAAAAAAAACTAAATAAATAGATCATAACTTTATTTCTGATTGAAATTTGTTAAAGAATAATAGTTAAAAATCTTAATTAAAGCACAAATAGTGCAAAAAATCCAGTAAAAGTAACTAATATTAAAAATATGTAATTATGCTTAAAAAATACTAGAAAATATACAGAGTATATTTAAAGATCATCTTTTTATATTTGAAACGGTATTTGGTTAGATTCCCAAGTAGCTTTTTCATGAATTAAATGGCCTCCATCTAAATGAGCTGTGTTTCTATAGAGTTTCTACTATTTAAAAACTTACTCAGAGAGTTACTTGGCGGCACATAACCTTTCATTTAAACCCCGCAGACGTGTTGTCATTAAATTACTTGGAGTTTTGGATTCACGGTCCTCCATTTTTACTAGATTATAATGCAGACTTATTATCTTATGATTCGTTTTCGCATAAATGTCTGATCCCCCTGAACAAAGAAAACAAATTCATATCACCATAGAAATGCCAGAAAATATTTGGCTTACATTTTTCTCTAATTTTTTATCTCTGAGTAGATTAAAAAGATCTTTATCCTAAATTTTTAGGTTCATTTACAATTTTCATAATAAAATTTAAATGTTTGAACCTCTTTCGCCCACACTCACATTTGCTGTAAAATAAATTCAACAGAATTCATTTAAAAATGAATTGCAGTTTCTCACAAAGCATAAAATCAGTATTAACAAACAAATTGCTTCACCCACCCCCTTATTTAGATATAAATAATATTATACGACTTGGAGGTAAATTATCTTATTCCAATGTAAATTTTGATCAAAAATATCCTATACCCTTCCAAAAATCACTTCACCACTCTCATTCTAGCAGCAGCGCTTAGGACATTTTGGTCCACAATCAGTTCTATCTCAAATCAGATTACGATTTTGGCCACTCAATGCGTTTTTAGAAATGCAAAGAATAATTCACATTTGTTTAATTTGCTTTCAATTTACGGGTATTGATTTTGATATCCCAATTTCTCAGTAAAACATCTATTCTTCGAAAAGCTTCTAATCAACTATAGCCCTATTAGTTTAATTAGTAATGTGGCCAAAATATTTGAGAAATGTGTGAAAGATAGACTGACAGATTTTTTAGAAACTAATGACTAACTTCCCAAACACCAATATGGCTTTACTGAGGGTCTTAACTCAGGAGATGCTATGCATGAATTGATTTCATATGTTACTGATGAAATGAATACTGGTAACAAGTGTATAGCTATATTTCTAGATCTATCAAAAGCATTTGATACGGTGCTACATCAGAAGCTCTTAAATGTTCTTGAACAGAATGGAGTGAGGGGCATCGTGTTGAAGATTTTTGAAAATTATTTGACACACAGACAACTGAAGGTAAAGGTCAGAAACAATGTGAGTAACCCTGAAAATATACAAATCGGAGTGCCTCAAGGGACTGTTCTGGGACCTATACTATTTAATTTATACATTAAGAGCTTAACTCAAATTGATATTCAAGGTAAAGTTGTATCATATGCTGATGATACAGTGCTAGTCTTCAGTGATAAAGATTGGGAAGCCGTCAAGACACGTGTTATAGCTGGAATGGAACATGTCAAAAACTGGCTGGATGTTTTTAAATTGTCTTTGAATGTTAACAAAACAAACTACATTGCTTTTTCAAAGACAGTGGCTGATCGACCTCAATTTAGAAGCTTAACATGTCAAAATTTAGACATACAGTAAACAGAAACATCCAAATATTTAGGTATAATTATAGATCAGCACTTAAAATGGGACTGCCATATAATATATATAGCAAAAAACTTAGATTTCTGATTTATAAATTTTATCTTCTAAAACAATTTCTCAACCAGGATCTACTAATAACATTATACTACAGTCTAGTAGAATATATACTACGGTATGGAATCTTAGTATGGGGAGGCCTGTATGGAACTACATTAAATCAGTTAAATGTTATTCAAAACGAAATCTTGAAGTTAATATATAAAAGAGGTAGATTGTGTTCCACCATAACTTTATATAATGAAAAAATTAGCAATGTTACAATTTTATATATTCACGCAGTGTGTTGTTATATACAAAAAAATGAATTTTTAAAAAACCCTTTAGAACATAGACATAGCAGTAGAACTGCATCAAACATGTGCATTAAAGTACCAAAACCAAATAGTGAGTTTTTTAAAAACAGTGTAAATTTACTAGGGACAAAGTTCTATAACGCTCTATCTCTTCATATAAAATTATTAAACAAATAAAAAATTCTGTAAAGATAGCAAAATATACATTTTCCAAAATAATGCAAAGTTTATCAGAATATTCCAAGAATAACGGACTTAATACATGGATTTTTTTAAATAGTTTTTTCTGTTTCTTGCATAAATTATTCAAGTTTAATTTCTTATTAAAAAAAAATGATTTTTTTCTTTTTTTATTTCCTTTATAATTCATTAAATATAATTAAAATAAAATTTTAATTTTTGTCAGCACATACAGGTGTTCTCACCTCGGAGTTTGTTATTAAATAATTGGTTTCCATTATTGTACTTTATTGTAACTTATTTATTATTGTAACTCATTGTAACTTATAACTATTAACTATTAAACTATTAAAAAGTCTATTGACGTAATTTTGCTTAATAAAATACTAAAAACTTATATCACTTGGCGCAGTCAATAGTCAATAGGACACGAATTAAATGCAGTGATATATAATAAAAAAGAATACGCTAGACGATTAACAACAAAATCTTTGGTAATCATTTTCATACCCCATCGATAAGAAAACTCAAACTTTGAAATATTTCAGCTCTTAGTAGTTCGAGATCTCCATCGATGCGTCGCATGCGACAACTCCTCGACCTGGATTCCGTGCGAACGGGGGCCCCCAGTCCGGTGCCGACACCTAGCGGGACTCTTCCGAGAGGTCAGAGACAGCTCGATATCAATCCCGCTGAATTCCTTAAATACAAGCTGGACAAACCGACGGGGCTAGTAGGAGGGACTTCTATGACAGGTAAATATTTAGAGCAAGCATTATTAATGGAAAAGAAGTATAATTTATACTTTTCTATACGTCTGCATCGTTTTTCGTCTAAAAACAGTCACTAGATATAGTTGGTTCGAATCCAGCTCGGAATAAATTTCATGATTTCGATTTTTTAGGTCTTTCACAACTAGCAGCCGGTCCTGGCGGTATATCGTCCGATGAACCAATCAGCGGCATGCTCTGGGTGCACCTACTCGCAGGTAGAGGGCTCAGGCCTTCTACGGGAACCTCGGCAGCCACCACACCCGTAACACCAAGCGGGGGAACTCCAAGTATAACAGGTATTAATTCTTCTTTCACCAGAACAATCTAGACACCTTGCGTAACTATTTTTGTTAATAAAAAAATATTTAGCCAATACTAGCGGTAATATTTTAAAAATATATGTTACTTATTATATAACTGACCTATATAAAGAAAATATTACAGGTCCGACCGCTGTTAGGGATCTCTACTGCGTGTTGGAGTGCGATCGTGTACATAAAGCTCGTACAGTGGTAAGCCATTTTTTTTATCCGAAAACAGTGGCCCTTGGTTAGAACCATGTTCCTAATATGTTTATAAACACCATTTTATTTACTTTTTACTGTTATTTTTAGTGAACATTTCTTCTTTTTACTGTACATATCATATTTTTAAGACCATATCTTACTTGAGCATTACCTAATACTTTTTAAAGATTTTTACTATAGACATTACCTACTACTTTTTAAAGATAATATTTAACTGGACAATTTTACTTTCTAAATGTAGTTTCATATTTTTTAGTGGGAACATTTATTTTTTAGTGAATTTCTTCTATTTTTAGTAAATATTTCTTACTTTTACTGAAGATTTCATACTTTTTAAAGATCATATCTTTATTGAACATTACATACTACTACTTTTTAAAGATAATCTTTTACTAGATAATATCTACTAATTCTTAAAGATATTCTTTAAGTGGACAATTTTACTTTTTAAAGAACATTCCTTATTTTTTACTAAAGACATTTATTTTTTAGTAAATGTCTTTCATTTTTAGTAAATATTTCTTACTTTTACTGAACATTTCATACTTTTTAAAGACCATATCTTACTTGAACATTACCTACTACTTTTTAAAGATAATCTTTTACTAGACTCTTACTAGACTTTTTAAAGATAACTTTAACGGTCATTTTTACTTTTTAGAGATCATTCCTTATTGTTTACTAAAAACTTCTATTTTTTAGTAAATGTCTTTTATTTTTAGTAAATATTTTTTATATTTACTCAACATTTCATACTTTTAAAGACAATATCTTTCTTTAAGATTTTCTACTACTTTTTAAAAATAATATTTAACTGAACATTTTTACTTTTTAAAGACCATTCTTTATTTTTTAGTGAATATCTTTTATTTTTAAATAATATTTTTACTGAACATTTTTACTGAACATTTTTATTGAACATTTTTACTGAACATTTTTATTAAACATTTTTACTGAATATTTTTACTGAACATTTTTACTGAACATTTTTACTGAACATTTTTACTGAACATTTTTACTGGGCATTTTTATGGAACATTTTTTTTTCACAGGTAAGGACGGGAGACCTCGTGTTCGACTGGGACGAAAGTTTCGAACTTGATTTGGTCAACAACAGGGAGTTGGACCTGTTGATCTATTCCTGGGATCCTCAGTACAGGCACAAACTGTGCTACAAAGGCTCCGTTTATTTGCCCACTCTGCTCAAGTCCGGCCCTATACACCAGTTAGCGCTTAAAATTGAACCTAGAGGTATTTTAACGAGGTTTTTTTAATTGTAGTGATTAAAATTATGTTTAATTTTTTTAGGCACATTATATTTGAGACTGAGACATACTGATTCCCAAAATTTATATCGAAGACGACCTCTTTCTACATTAACTTTATCTAGAACCACGCCACTTTTTGGTGTGGATTTAGAAACTGTGGTAAGTTATTTTTTTTTCAATTTCTTTCGCCATTAAATTGCTACTATAAAGCAAAGATAATAAATTTTACTGAACATTTCTTATTGTTTACTGAACATTTTTCAAATAAAAGTCATTTTTTAATAATGAATATAGTTTGGCTATAAATATAAGTATATTTTGCAGGTAAATCGAGAAAGTAAGACTGGTGGTGTTCCCGGTGGTGTAGCGACAGGACTAGTGACTAGTTCGCAACATAACATTCCTATAATCATTAGGAGATGCGTCGAAGAAGTTGAAAGGAGAGGCCTAGATATTATAGGTAAGATAGCAATTCATTTAGCATTAAAATTAAGAAATAGATAGGTGACAGTTGTCAGTAGTAAACATTGTTTTGATAATGGAATCAATTCTTTTAGGAAAATTATTAAATGGCAACATATTAGCTGATTCATATCGCACTTCTGAGGCACACACATTAATATTTATGTAATTAGAGTGTGCATATAGATCCTTCATTTTGATTCGTATGTTCTTGTTTGGTAAAAAAGCAAATAAAGTAGAAATATTAGAGGAACTCAAGAAATATCGAAGGAACTCAAGAAATATCAAAGAAACTCAAGATATAAAAAAGAAACTCAAGAAATATTGAAGAAACTCAAGAAATAATCAAGAAACTCAAAAAATATCGAATAAACTCAAGATATATTGAATAAATTCAAGAAATATCGAAGAAACTCAAGAAATATTTAAGTCATTCAAAAAATATTAAAGAAACTCTAGAAATATCGAATAAACTCAAGAAATATCGAATAAACTCAAGAAATTTCGAAGAAACTCAAGAAAAATATCAAATATACTTAAAATATATCGAAGACACTCAAAAAATATCAATGGAACTCAAGAAGAATCTAAGAAACTCAAGAAATACTAAAGAAACCCAAGAAATATCGGTGAAACCCAAAAAATATCAAAGAAACTCAAGAAATTTAAATACAAGAAATATCGAAGAAACTCAATAAATATGAAAGAAACTCAATAAATATGAAATAAAATCAATAAATATGAAATAAACTTAATAAATATAAAAAGAAACTTAAAAAATATCGGAGAAACCAAAAATATCAAAGAAACTCAAGAAATATCAAAAAACACTCAAGAAATATCGAAAAAACTTAGGAATTATCGAATAAATTAAAAATCAATTCGTTTAGGAAGATCATCATTAAATATAAAAATATAAGCGGACTCAAATCGTACTTGTGAGTTACACACATAATAACATTTAAATAGTTGGGGGTATATAAATCCTCCATTCGTTATTTAAAAAAGCAAGTAAAGTTGAAATATCAAAGGTAAAAAAATATCGAATATTTTCAAGATATATCGAAGTAACTTAAGACTACCGAAGGAACCCAAGAAATATCGAGTAAATTAAAAAAATATCTAATATTCTCAAAATATATCGAAGCAACTCAAAGAAACCAACGAAATATCAAGGAAACTCAAAAAATATCGACGAAACTCAAAGAATATCGAAGAAACTCAAGAAATATCGAAGAAATGTAAAAAATATCAAATAAACTCGAGTGTAATATAACTTAAGAAATATTGAAGAAACTTAAGAAATAACGAATAAACACAAGAAATATCAAAGTAACTCAAGATATATCGAAGAAACTCTAGAAATATCGAAGAAACTCAAGAAATATCGAAGAAACTTTAGATATATTAAAGAAACTTAATAAATATTGAAGAAACTCAAGAAATAACGAAGAAACTCAAGAAATATCGAAAAATCTCAAGATATATCGAAAAAACTCAAATATTAGTCATTTAAAAAAAAATCGGGGAAATTAAGAAATTCAAAACATATCGAAGATACTCAAAATATATCGAAGAAACTAAAGAAATATAAGAAATATCGAAGAAACTTAAGAAATATCAATAGAACTCAAAAAATATCTAAGAAACTCAAGAAATATCGAAGAAACTCTAAAAAATCGGAGAAACTCAAGAAATATCAAAGAAACTCAAGAAATATCAAATATTCCCAAGCTATATCAAAGCAACTTAAGAACTATCAAAGGAACCCAAGAAATAGAGAGTAAATTAAAAAAATATCAAATATTTCCAAGGTATATCAAAGCAACTCAAAGGAACCAAAGAAATATCAAGGACACTCAAGAAATATCGACGAAACTCAAGGAATATCAAAGAAACTCAAGAAATATCGAAGAAATGTAAGAAATATCGAAGAAATGTAAGAAATATCGAAGAAACTCAAGAAATATCGAAGAAACTTAAGAAATGTGATAGAGATTTAAGAAATATTACGTATATTGTGCTAACTAGACACGAGTAGTAGTACTTACGTTTCTGTCCTTTTAATAAAAATTTTACTGGTACGATAAAATCGATTTATTTGTTTGCAGGCCTTTACCGACTGTGCGGGTCAGCGACCAAGAAGAGGATCCTGCGCGAAGCCTTCGAAAGGAACAGCCGGTCCGTGGACCTAAGTCCGGACAACGTGCCGGACATCAACGTGATCACGGGCGTGCTTAAAGACTATTTACGCGAATTGCCTGAACCGTTGTTCACCAAATGTCTGTACCAGATGATGGTGGACGCTCTGAGCGTTTGCTTGCCCGACGATCCGGAGGGCAACGCGAAACTGATGTTCTCCATATTGGATTGCTTGCCGAGAATCAACAGGGTAAGTGTTTTATGAGAAACGTTTTCGCCGAATGTAATACTTTTTTTTTCACAGGCTACCCTGATATTCCTGATGGACCACCTCGCTTTGGTCGTATCAGCATCCGATCGTAATAAGATGTCCGCCCAAAATTTGGCGACTGCTCTAGCGCCGCCGCTGATGCTGCAAACCAGCGACACCATGACCCCGACGGCCACCAGCAAACCCCACTACGAAATCGACTATCACCAACCCATCAGCGTACTCAAATACCTCCTGCAAATTTGGCCGACGCCCAAGCACCATCACTCAGGTAATGTGTAGTTGTGAATCTCGAAAGAGAGCTCTTTATCCATCGCTTATTTAGTTGATAAATGAATATGTTTAAACTATTTAAATTAAAGGTTAAACGTTGGAATAGTAAGCTAGTTGGCAACGTTTTTACACTTTTGCACTGAAGCTGTTGTAGTGACCAAGATGCACCACAAACTTTTCTACTTTATCGCGCCACATGCTTCACACGCTTGGAAATTTCGGTTGCCAAAATCTATTTTTGTTAAAAATCATTATGATTTTTTATGTTTATTTGTACAAGACGTTCCTTTGCCAAAAATATAATTTAGACATCTCCAATTTAAAACTGTATTTGTGATGAGAAAGACCTTACAAGAAATATCGAATAAATTCAATAAATATCAAATATTGCAAAAAATATTGAATAAACTCAAGATATATTGAATAAATTCAAGAAATATCGAAGAAACTCAAGAAATACCAGAAAAACACAAAAATATCGAAGAAACTCAATAAATACGAAAGAAACTCAATAAATATAAAAAAAAACTTAAGAAAGTATCGAAGAAACTCAAAAAAATATCAAAAAAAAAATCAAAGAAACTCTAGAAATAACGAAAGAAACTCAAGAAATATCGAATAAATTAAAAATCAATTAGTTTAGGTAGATCATTTTTAATTAAATGGAAAAATATAAGCAGGCTCAAATTGTACTTGTGAGTTACACACAAATTAACATTTAAATAGTTAGGGGCTTATAAATCCTACATTCGTAAAATCTTGTCAGTTAAAAAGCAAGTACCTAAAGTAGAAAAATATTAAAAAAAATTCAAGAAATATCAAATGAACTGCAGAAATATTGAATAAACTCAAGAAATATCGAAGAAGCTCAAAAAATATAGAAAAAGCTCCAAATATATTAAAGATAGTCAAGAAATATTGAAGGAGCTTAAGAAATAACGAAGAAACTCAAGAAATATCAAAGAAACTCAAGAAATATCGAAGAAACTAGATATATTAAAGAAACTCAATAAATATTGAAGAAACTTAAGAAATACCGAAGAAACTCAAGAAATACCGAAAAAACTCAAGATAAATCAAAGAAATTTCAAATAAAGTCAAAAAAATCAATAAATATGGAAGAAAGTTAAGAAATATTAAAGAAACTCAAGATATTTCGAAAAAATCAAGAAATATCGAAGAAACTCAAGAAATATCAAAGGAACTCAAGAAATATCGAAGAAACTCAAGAAGTATGCAATAAAGTCAAATATTATTGAAGATACTCGAGATATATCGAAGAAACTCAAGAAGTATGCAATAAAGTCAAATATTATTGAAGATACTCGAGATATATCGAAAAAACTGAAGATTTATCAAAAGAACTCTATATCGAAGAAGTATGAAATTAAGTCAAATATAATTGAAGATACTCAATATATATCGAAGAAACTGAAGAACTATTAAAGGAACTCAAGAAATATCGAAAAAATCAAGAATTATGGAAAAATCAAGAAATATCGAAGAAACTCAAAAATTAATGAAGAAACTTGGGAAATATTAAAGAAACTTAAGATATATTGAAAAAATTCAAGAAATATTAAATAACTCAAAAAATTTCGAAAAATCTTAAGAAATATCAAAGTAACTTATGAAATATTAAAGAAACTCAAGAAATATCAAAGGAACTCAAGAAATATGGAAGAGACTCAAGAATTATGGAAAAATAAAAAAATATCGAAGAAACTCAAGCATTTATGAAGAAATTCAGGTAATATTAAAGAAAGTTAGGAAATATTAAAGAAACTTAGGAAATATTAAATAAACTTAAGATATATTGAAGAAACTCAAGAAATATCAAAGATCCTCAAAAAATTTCGAAAAATCTCAAGAAATATCAAAGAAACTTAAGAAATATCAAAGAAACTGAAGATATATCGAAGAAACTGAACAACTATCGAAGAAACTCAAGATATATGGAAGAAACTCAAGAATTATGGAAAAATTAAGAAATATCGAAGAAACTCAAGCATTAATGAAGAAACTCAGGTAATATTAAAGATCTTCAAAAAATTTAGAAAAATCTCAAAAAATATCAAAGAAACTTTAGAAATATTAAAGAAACTCAAGATAAATCAAAGGAACTCAGGAAATATCGAAGAAACTCGAGAAGTATGCAATAAAAAAAATATCGAAGTTACTCAAGATATATCAAAGATACTCAAGAATTATCGAAGACACTCAAGAAATATCGAAGACACTCAAGAAATATCGAAGAGACTCAAGAAGAGAAGTACCTTTAATTTACTAGAAATACCTCGTAATGAAGGATTGCCTAAAGGATGACAAGTGTGTAAGGTATGTAGCGCTCTAAGGTATGAAGGTATGTAGTGCTTACGAGTTCCTACATACATCACGTTTTTTTGCTCGATTCACACGTTTCGTTGACATCTTTATCATCATCGGAACAGGATTGCGCACTAAATTACGCTATAATTTTAGAATAAAGAGACCAGAAATGTAACATTGCATACAGCGCTAATTGTCAGCTTCAGTTTTCAGTAACACACTAATAGAAAAACAGGTTTTCTGCGATTTTACCCGAGTTGATATGAAATACAGAATATTTTGATTCTATTATTTCCGTCTGAGTTGAATCACTATTGAACGACTTTTTTTATTATTTTTGGTGTCGTTTGTTCGGTCATGTAGAACTCTGAAAATTCGACAGCTCCATGAAACTATTACGATGTATTCTTCCTTGTAATAATAAGATATTTTACATAGTAATTACAAGAAAATAAAAACAACCGGTATAGTTTAATGTTACATTGATAAATATATTTCTAAAGAATTTTTTTTTTTTTTTCATAAAAAACAATAATTTTCACCCGTGACCTTAAAATAACCTTTCTATAAAACTCATTTGGATTATCTAAATTATATCAATAATTATTAATACAAAAATACCTATTAAATCAATATTTCAATAATGGTGGCCATGTTGGATTTAATAAACACGTAAAAAACTATTTAAACATAAAACTATTTCAGAGATTTTCGATCTAAATAATAAAACGGTGCATATTACATCTCTTGTCTTTTTATTCCATGTCTAATTTGTATTCCAATAAATATACTAAACATATTCATTTATATCTACTTAGTTCAATGTGTGTCTCAGTCTACTTCCAATCTTCAAATCGTCTTCGGTATTGTACAATAACTGTTTGGTGTATCGTTTTTTAGATAATATGTGTGTACAATTTTTAACCCTACAACACCCACATTACATCAACCGTACCAACAAAATATACTTACATATACCATGTGCAAATTTCAAAAAAAAACTACTACATAACCATACAATTATACTTATTTTGGACATGGTAGTTGTATTGTATTTAGCGGAATATATTCAGCAAATTCTATATACTTTATCTGGAACGAAGATGTTTAATTTGGATTCTACTATTTTTATTCGTTCGAAATTGGGTACCAAGTTAGCGAATCTGCTGAAAATAATCTGAACGTTGTTTGTCTTTAGCAAGCTTTATATTTAAGCCCTGTTTTACCACGAGATCTACATACGGTACCGTTTGAAAGCCATAGTAGAGTTGGATAGTTAAAGAAGGAGTCATAAATATTAAAGAAGTAGCCTTAGAGCCAATTTATACTTCGCAATAAACTTTAAATTAAAAAAAATAAAATTATATAATTATTAAACTTTACTTTTTGACAGCTTAAGAATATGTTGCCTCAATTCCACTTTTTAGTATCAATTTCCACCATCTTTCTATGAATTTCCATGAATTTCTATGAATTTCTATGAATTTCCATGAATTTCTATGAATTTCTATGAATTTCTATGAATTTCTATGAATTTCTATGAATTTCTATGAATTTCTATGAATTTATATGAATTTCTATGAATTTCTATGAATTTCTATGAATTTCTATGAATTTCTATGAATTTCTATGAATTTCTATGAATTTCTATGACATTCTATGAATTTCTATGAATTTTTATGAATTTCTATGAAGGAAAGGTTATCACATATCACATACTTACCAGATAAAATTTATTGAAAGACCTTTAGTTTACTGCAAAATGGGCATTTTATTTAAGTGTCAGTGACATTTTAAACACTTTTTGTAATTTGTTTTGAAATGACGTAATAAGACGCATCAGTTTCTTGCTATAAGAAATGTAACAAATTTTCTTTTTCTGCCTTAAAAATTAACGAAAATATCAAAGCATATTTTTAAGATTACACCTGATTTTCTCGGGTGCCTTTTTACAATATGCCTCTGTCGGCAAATTCCACGGTTTTCCTTCAAAGTGTTAAGGTATTTTTCTTTTAGTTCATTTTATCAAAAAAAAAAAAGAGTTCTTGAATACTTTTAAAAAAGATCTAGTAAAAGTTAATTTTTGTGTTTATGAACTCTGAAAAAACTATTTCAAAAAAATTATTGATACGATTAGAACTCCCATTATCGTTGTAATAGCCACGAATTTTTTAAATTGAAATATTTGAAGGTATCTGTTCTTTCTTTAAAGTTTTTCAATCTTCAACTTAGGTTATTAATATTATAATTTTGGTAAATTTTATTCTTAATTAATTACATACAATTTTTACAGCTTCAAATTTTTTTGCTTTATAATTACGAAAAGTATGTAAAATGAGAATTTTATGCGAACCGCAAGACAAATTGTTGTCTCATTGGTCTGATGCTGTCGCTTCGAGGTTTGATATACGAATTAATTTTCTGACGTACAATTTTTCATATAACCCTAAATATTTACTTATATTTTTATTTATATTTTGTTTACACCTCGTATAATAATTCCAGCATATATTCGCACAACTATTACTTGAATAACTAATGATGAATCATGAACCAGTCCTCATTAACATATTGCGATATTTATTCGATAGGGAAGAATAAAAAATTGTAAATTAAATCGCATAATAAATATATTTCAGTTATACTCGTAGTTTCTGTAATTTTTTAAATTATTATTACAAATTTACGACGCATTAATTTGGACCTTTAGCAAGATCTGTTCACCAAGAATCCTTATTTCCTTGTAAATTATACTAATAATTACCATTTAACGGAAAAATGAGAACGACTGGTACTTACTTAATATAGTTGATCAACAACAACTTCTGTCACGAGACATTTTCCGGAAAATTTTCTCGTATAGCCGTCGCCGATTATACGAGGGCTTTTTTCTAGCGAAATTTAAACAAAGTCACATCCAAAATTTTGCACCGTTCTTATACCGACGAGGTACAAATGCGAGGTGATTAATGGCAGGTAACTGGCAATCAGGAATGTGTGATTCATAGATTCATATGTTCTAGAAATTCTTTAAACTTGTAGAAATAAGACACTACATGTAATAATAATATTTATTGAGGTTATTTTTGTCGGTTATTTTTGATTATTCTGACGTTGGATTGCCTAATTGCCAGAAAACTTGCGAACTGTAAACTGGCTATTAGACATCGTGCAATGAAAGTTTTTCTGCACTTATCAGTAAAATAGTAGATCTCGTCGTGTAGACCGGGCTATAGGAAAAAGAAAGACAAACCTCACGCGAGTAAAGTAGTTAGTGGTATCGATGTGTGGGAGTGTTGTTGGTATTTAGAGGGGGCCTTTCCAGACAGGTCGTCGCGGCAGGCCATCCGGGCCGCGTGGAGACAGTCGCAGTGCGTGTCCTCAGGCGGCGGCGGCAGCGGCGGCGCAAGCGGGGGCGGCGGTGGGCCGCGAGCCGTCTCGGCTCTCAGCGGCTCCGTTTCCTCCTCCTCCTCGCTCAGCAGTCTCGGGCCCGCGCGGCCCACAGCCACAGGTCCCATTACACCAGATACTAGTAAGTATATACATGACTTCGTTCACGTTTTTCTTAAATCGGGCTCGGCTATGGACCTTTAAATGGCAACATTGTACGTAGCTGGTTCTTATATAACCTACGAACTTTAGCTGTCATAGTATGTCTAACCGTTAAACGTTTGATTATGGTAGAAGATAGTATATAGAATAAACAGTAATGTGACTTTCTATGATTTGTACGGGTCACGGCCTTTCACAAAGAGGAAGGAGCTTGTCAGACGACGCCATTTTGTTAGGATCATACGCAGATCAGGTTTCGCAGTTTTTGACGTAACACTAGATTTCGAAATCCAAGTTACATTATTAACAATGTATGCCTTTCATTATCCTTAGGGAAACAAAAACTCTTTAGTTACTACTTTCTGAGAGTACAGTGATGCGACATATTGTATTTTGTTCAATTTAAATTTAATGAAACTGGAAAAAATCACTTGATAATAACTAAAAAGCATTTGCAACCTCAGCAAATCGCTCTTCGTAAATTGATCCTGAGAAAATGGCGGCGCTTTCAACGCACTGTTCTCTATACTGTGGTAGGGATAAATTAAGAAAAGTAATTACTAACCTATAGTCTAGAGCCATTATTATGTCAATATTACTATACAGCGTGGACAATATTTGACATACATAGCCAAGCTTGATTTAAGAGTCACCAAACTCAAAAAATATCGGTAAAATGTTAAATTCCAAACGAACAGGTATATTTAGATAAATATAGATGTTAGTTTGTGTTTTAGTTTAAATGTAACATACACCAAATGTTAAACAAAAATCTGTCAATTTCAGCAAATTTAGGAATAATTGAATTTAAAGAAATTAAAAATTCTTGTTGACTTCAGAGTTTTCATGGATCTGAAAATTATACTGGCCATATATAATGCTTCTCCTACAATCTAGCATGTAATAAATTAAATCACGTAACGTATCGATAATTGTCAGTAGCTGTTCGGTATTTCTCATTATAGTTTACCAAATTTATTCCCTTTTCGATACTGGCGCACTAATCTAAACTAATCACGGAGGTGACTAACTTAATTTATCATTTGCTAGACTAAACTTTCAGCGAGCTCAATACAACAGGATTTCCCATAACTGTTTATTTATCATTTAGATCGTAATTAAAGTAACATTAACTGTTCCAGGGCCAATCATCAGCAAGCAAAGGTCCCTACCGTCCACTATCCCCTCGGGTAGGGCCGCAAGCCACTTCCTCGGCCGTAGCGCTTCGGCCGCGACAGGTGATAGTCTCTTCGCCAGGCTCTCCAAGCAGCAGTAGCGACAGCCAGAGCGGTTCTGAATCCGTCAAACACTGCCTACCCAGCCGCGTCAGTTCGCCCATCATCAGAGCCTCGCCCTCTGCGCAAACGATGCTGCGATCGTCTCCGTCTGTCACCATCAGCTCGCCGGGTCTCAGACACTCGCCTTCGATCACCAGCTCCGTGTCAGGAGGTTCTCCGGGTCCTAGAAACTCGCCATCGATATCCAGTTTGAGTAGAGCTGGTCAGGTATCTAGATCTAGTTCGCCGGCAATGCAAGCCAGTAGCGCTGGATTAAATGTTACACTAGGTGGTGCAACGCCGTCTTTTACTTCGACTTTGAGCAGCTATCAGAGCTCTTTGAGCGGTAATACGCCTACAAGTTATTGGAGTTACTCGCAACCGTCTTCTTATTCGCAACAATCTTCTTATACTCAACCACCAACTTATTCCAGTACCAATCCGTTTCTGACGGGTTCGTATATGAGTTACACTCCTGGTGAAGCTAATTTTGCTGAGAAGTTCAACACCATCGGTCCTTCAAAGGAGATTAAATCGTTTTTTGATACTTATACCAGTGATAGTAATAAATATTCTACGATGAATCCCAAGACAACATCGTACGACACTGATTACCTCTACTCAACATCTGATGTCAAAACCAATGGAGTCTCAAGCCGTTACATCGATAAATCCTACCTTAATGGTACTTACTCAACGGATTTGAAGTACGGCAGTACTAAATCATCATCTAACTACGACATGAGTCCAAATATCGTTCAAAGTACCAATAATTCAACTTCTGGACTTCTTAACGTCGAAGAAACTCCGACACCGACTAGCAGCATCGAAACTGAGGACAGCAACACCAGAGAGGTGGGCGAGAAGGACGTCGAAGGTGATGGGGAACAAAGTGACTGAATTTATTATCGTTAATGAGTAATAATCACTTTTTAAAAACGGTGAAAGCACAAATAAAGACGTAATTTTTTTTAGGTATGTCACTCATTATTCGTTGTATTTACCATTGTAACTTCGTTCATTGGGATATTTGTAATAAATGCGGTAATGAGATAGGACGGTTGATGCTGGGTTGAGGGAAATTAAATGGTAAGTAGCATAGTAGGAGATCAAAATTAACTTCGATTCTATTAAATGTCTGATTAGTACAGAATAGAGTAATTATCCTTAAATCGATCCTACTGACTGCGCCAATTTTTTAATGTAGGATTATTCCTACTTGAGCTTTTACCGTTTGATTTTCGACCCGCACCGTATACACCGTTCGAAATTAAATGAATGTATTGCTTACTAGAAATCAAACTGAATCAATAGGTATCATTGTTATCTAAATATTTAAATTTTAGTTGTTAGTTAAAACATAAAAAAAACAATATTTATTAAAACGAATAGAATTTTAAATGGTATACATATTAGCAAATAATTGTTACGTGTGTTGCACAAGTACTTTTACGTTTGTTCTGTTACCGATCTGCATACAGTATGATTTAAAAAGCTTGACCAGATCGTCCATTTCTTTGAAATCTCCTAACAACTAATTATTTTCCGTACAAGCTTTTTGAATAATACTGTATACGTTCTGTCAAAGTGTGATATTCACTCGATCTTACATGCAGGCTTTTCTAGACACTTCCCGATCGATTATATCGATATTAAGAACATTGATTTCGATATAACCGTTAGCTGACTGTTTTCTGGAAACCTACAATCCCTCGAATTGTCCCATACCAACATGCCCAATGTGAAACAAACTCTACTTATACAAGAGGTTAATTTTGTAACAATTTTTGACAGATAACTCACTTGGGCTTCCCAGAATTCTGCTAGCCAAATTTCTTATCGAAATCAAATAGTAATTTTACGTCTGAAGCCGTTTTTGGCGTTTAAAAACGTTAAGCAGACATTTTGAAGTTTCTTGTTATGAAATTATGTAATGTTAAATTTGTTAAAAACTTTCAAATAGACAAAATCAATCTTTAAATAAACAAAAAAGAAATTTAAAAAATCTGATTGTGGTACAATATTGTCCCAAAAAGTATTTATTATTTGTGGGAAATGGTTAAAAAGCCATTATATTTGTTAAAAGGTCAATACATTGTCTCGACATCACTATTTATTGGGTAGGCAATGTAGATACCCATATTTGACAGTTTGAAATAAAGTTCCTACATTTTGTTCCGAGTAAAGTTAGCTATGACTTTACAGAATGGTTGCAAATGGTTGTTAAGGCTTATATTTGAAAAATAGCGATGTTGATTTGGATTTTAATCCTGCAAGGTAAGTGGTTTTAATAAAAATTGGTTTTATAGCGTTTTTCTGGGAAAGCTCAAGACACCTAATTGCCAAAATAGTCTGGATTATATACAATAACCTATTTTTTTAATAAACTACATGTTGGTTTTAGTTTGGGATAGACACTTTGTTTATTTGCGTCACTATGAAATGCCTGTAAGAATATTTAAAATTTGATGACAACGTAGACAATTAGGGAGGTCTGTTTTTTTATTAAAGTTGGTTGAATAGAAAAAATGATTACCCTGTATGCATATATAAGTTTCATGGTTAAGATTTAAAATAAAGAATATTTTTCAATATGCAGGTCAATGACCTGCTCATTTTGCACCCCCATAGTACATCTACTTTCTAAAAAAAAATTCTTACTGAAGCATTTCAAAAGTGACTTTATATTTTTATTTGAATTAAAATGAGATATATTGCACAAACAAAATACTATTGTAAAAAATAAAACAAACATCACTGCCATGTAACGTATTTTAGGCAGGTTTTCCAACTAGTATTACCTCTAGCGAAAACTATTTTGAATAAATACCTACGAATGGAATTTGTAGAGTTTGTGGTTATTTAATTTTTTTCTAGAATTTGTAATTTTTCAAATGATAATAACCCTTAAAGAAAAATCGCTTATTACAAGGTGGTCTGATAATTGTAAATTTAAATAAATAATAAATGAAATGTGTAAATATTAGTATATATATATACCTATACGATTAACTTAAGATTTCGATGATCGTATTTTAATTTTGAATTTTGTTGAATATTTTTTTTTACTTGATTGTTGATAATTTTGTATTTTATATATGTACAGTGTTTGTTTATCCGTTTGGCGTTTCTGTTTGAATTGCCATGCAAACATTTAAGCATTGGCAAATGTAATAAATATATCGTTTTTGTTACTGATGAAATGTTTATTATAAATAATTATTGATTGACCGTTTTCTCTGTATATATTATTGGAATAATTGGATGCGGGTTGGTTGGATTTTCGATGAAATGCTGAACTAAATAATTTTTGTGACGCAACAGATGTCAAACTACTTATATTACAACACAATTGATAATTTCTATTTTTTTGTCTATAATGTACCGAAAACGAGGAATTTAGTAAAAAAAGTTAAAAAAGTTTGATGCGTTGTATCTCAAAAAATATTAATTTTACATCTTCAATATTTGTGACGTAATAGATTTCAAACTACTTATGTTACAAAAAAAGTGTTATGTAAAACTTGTAGATAATTTTATTCTCTACAAGATTGATAATCACTATTTTTTTGTCTACAATGTACTGATAACGAGATATTTAGAAAAATACAAATTAAAAAAAGTTTGATGCGTTATATCTCAAAAAATATCAAGTTTATAAAAAAAACTTTCGGATAAGAAATGTGGAAAATTTGATTATCTATAAAAATGGTTTCAATTATTTTTGTGAGAAAATCAATTGGTCGTGAGTTATTAAACAAAAAAACATGTTTAATCAAAATGGCGAGCAAATTTACTTTCAAAAGCTAAAATACTGAATTACCATTATTTTTTACATCTTCAATGTTCGTGACGTAATAGATTTCAAACTACTTATGTTACAAAAAAAGTGGTATGTAAAACTTGTAAATAATTTTATTCTCTACAAGATTGATAAGCACTATTTTTTGTCTACAATGTACTGATAGCAAGATATTTAGAAAAATACAAATTAAAAAAAGTTTGATGCGCTGTATCTTAAAAAATATAAATTTCACAAAAAAATATTTGGAATAAAAAATGTAGGAAATTTGATTTTCTACAAATGGATTTAACTAGTTTTGTGATTGAATCAACCGTTCGTGAGTTATTAAAAAAAATAACGTTTTTATCAAAATGGCGAGCGAATTGATCTATGAAAAGCTGAAATACTTCTTCTCTACAAAATTGATAACTATTATTTTTTAAATAAAGCGAAATCAAGATAATTTTAATAATTATTTCAGTATTTTTTCGAAAATTCAACCTGGCTATCTAAATATTTGTATGGCAATAAGATATATATCTTCGAACATATTGTATTTAGAAAGAAAGAACAAAAAAGACGTTCCAAACGCGCATACACATGCTTCTTCCAAATGTTTACCTCCTAGTCAGTCTCACGTTCAGAAAAAGCTGGGTATCATTTACGAAAAAAAAAAAATGTATATAATATAAATATATATAGAAAACTGGAACGTCTGCTTAAGCTCTAAGCATGACGATGATCGGTTTTTTTTAGATATTTTTGCAAAAACGTCAAATTTTCAATAAAAAAATACTCATATAGGGGCTTTTTTGAATAATTAAAAAGACATGTAATTTTGTCACAAACAGTGAAACTCACATTTTCAAAAAAAATTCTAGTCGACTCGATTTAATCTCTACCTTTTAATCGCATTATTTTTAATCGCTATTTTTTTAATCACTGTATTTTTTTAATTGTTGTATTTTTAATTGCTGCATTTTTAATCGCTGTATTGTTTTAATCGTTTTATTTTATCTTCTCGATGTATTTTTTTAATCGTTTTTGATATTTCACTATTTAAAATTTATCACTTTTTTTTACTAACTGAATTAATATTAATTAATTAACCAATTAATAGTAATTAATCAATTAGACATTTCAATTAGTCAAGAAAGGTGAAACATTTTTAATAGTGAGATAAAAAAACGATTAAAAATTACAGCGATTAAAAATACAGCGAATAAAAAAATCAGCGATTAAAAAATAACGTGAAAAAAACATATAGTGAATAAAAGCGATTAAAAAATACATTGATTAAAAAATACAGTGATTAAAAAATATAGTGATTATAAAATAGTGATTAAAAAAAGAGATAAATACGTATTTATGTGAAATACAGGATATTAAAAAAACTTCTGTATAAAATAAGAAAAAATTGTTTTATAACAAAAATAAGTTTAGAATTTTCTGTTTTTGTATGAATTAAGTATTCATAGAACTTTTAAACGAGATATCACAAGCCCCGTGTTGTAAATCGATGATTCTACAATACTTGAAAAAAATATATCTTAAATTTGATAAATTTCCTAAAAAACATTTTTGCAAAAATCTGTCAAAAGAAAAAATACCGATCGACCTTGTGCAAATATAAATGTGAAAACCCAAAATCCATAATCTTTTGCATTTTTGTACTTATTTGCGGTGCTAGAGAGCAGTGATTAGGTTTTTTGATGTTAAAAATGCATACACAAATTAAAAATAAGGTACCAAGGTCATATCAATAAGCGCTGCCTCGTTAAAACGACCTTCGAAGATTCGCCTTCGGTGTTTTAATCACGATTTTTATTCTAATCGCGTTTTTTAATCGCCTCCAATTTTTTTATATATCCAAATTAAATATTTTCAATATTGTTCTAATCGCAGCAGTTTTTTAATCGTCCTAGGTTCCTAATCATCTTAATTTAAAATCGTTTTCGGTACAAAAGTATAAAAATAGTGATAAAAATATGAAATTGAGGGCAAATTAGGCGTCCAATTTTTTTAATCACCTCTAAATTTTTTTAATCGCCTTTAAATCCTTATATTTGCTTTTAAAAAATTTCCTGGCCCAAATCTTTACTCTTTTCAAATATTTGTAATCGCAGCTGTTTTTTTAATCGAGTTATGCGATTTTAGTCGTCCTATTTTTGAATCGTTTTCGGTACAAGAGTGTAAAAATAGTGGTTAAAATATTAAATCGAGGGCGAATCGCGCAGGGTCGGCTTAGCATCTAGGTTTCGCCCGAAGAAACAATCTTGGTAGGTACCTAAAGAATCGCCTAAATAGTAGTAAATGTGGCTAAATCAATATTGTATATTAATTATATTCATTAGAGACTGTGTGCTGTGGTGAGCGATACTCTAGTCAATTTTAAGTTTAGTCAATTTTAGGAACGGTAGTTGAATTTTTAATTATTATTAGACATATTACGCAAGCACTGGCAACATACAATGAATTTTAGAACGTTCTAGAATGATTAGATTCATATGTTTTACTGTATAAAGGTTGGTTTATGACTGCTGTCAATTTTTTAATCGCGGTATATTTTTAATCGCTGTTTTTTAACCACCTACGTCATTTTAGACATTTAAATACATTCAATTTCTTTATTATTCTTTAAAGTGCATCATGATTATAATATAATAATTATCTGCTGCATATCAAAATAATTCTTGCATAAAATATTAAATACCATCTTTCAAATTAAATTATTCATTTATTTAAATAATATTATATTTTATGGTTGTGTAATTTAAGTAGTATTATAGTTTTTTCATACTTTAAGATCAAATCAAAAGCGTATTCATTGAGTGGAAAAATAGTTATATCTAATTAAATAAACAAACACCAATTTATTTAAATTTAAATACTTTTGAACTCACAATTTTTTAAACGTTGTGTGGCTTAAATTTTCTAATTTTCCTTCGCTTGTAATTGATATAATTACATTGTAGTTTCCTTGTAGTTACTCATCAGCACGTATTTTTTCTAGAGTAAACAAAATGCCCCATATTCACTGCTATCGTATACCAAACCTGCATATCATTCCTTTTTACTAAATTATATTTAAAAGTGAATTTAAAAATTAAAAATGCTAAAACGCGCTCATTTTTCTTAAGATCGGGATAAAAATAGTGCAAAACAAAGTTGATAAAGTAGGTAGGTGAAATATTTACAGGAACAAATAAAAGAGTATAGCTCTAACGAAGAATCAACAGGTAGGCTGTTATTATATTTCATCATTAACATAAAATATTGCTTATACAGGGGAAAACGTACGTTATCCCTTCTGAATATAGAAAATAAACTACTTTATTTTATAAAATAATGCAATTATATTTAAAAGTAATTATAATTATTATAATTATATTAATTCGTTTTGGTTCGTTTACCAATCAATATTTTACATTCTAAGCATAGTTTATATTCATTAACATCAACAAAGCATTAATGTGTTCCCTCTAAATATCACATAAATAAAATCTTAAGTTTGTTTGGATATCGTATATACAACATCGCTGTCGTCGTCATATTTCTTGCATTTGAAAAAATCGTGATAAAAATAAAATAATATCTTTAGAAGGAAATCCAGCAATTTCATTGAGACGAAATATTCATTTAATCTTGTCTTTTATCATCCTATTGTTTGAATTAACAAAATAGGCGTTCCTTATTCTTGCATAAATATAGATCATTAGGAATTTGAGCGATTCTTGATGATTTTTCTGTTTTGACTTATACAGGGAAGAACGTCTGAATACTTTTGCAGTAATTCTATGTAAAAATAGTATCTTTTAAAATACCGGGTGGTATTTTCTAAGAGGAAATCGAGTAATTTCATTGGGACGAAATATTCATTTAATCTTGACTTTATGACCCTACGTTTTGAATTAACAGAATAGACGTTCGCTATTCTTGTATAAATATAGATCATTAGGCAGTCGAGAGATTCTTGATGATTTTTTTGTTTTTATGGACTTATTCAGATAAGAATGTGTGTTATACCTTCTAAATATTTTTGTACTAATTCTATATTAAAATAATATCTTTTAAAATACCGGGCGATATTTTCTAAGAGGAAATCGAGCGATTTTATTGAGACGAAATACTTATTTAATTTTGTCTTAACCCTG